GGATGGGACAGGGGATGGGGAGGGGCGGGCAGCAGGGGATGTCGGGCGTGCCGAGGGGGCCGAGGGCGGCGGCGGGGGGCCCGGGGCCGCAGAGGACGGGGCAGCGCGGGCATGGGTATCATCCGTATGCGCGTTGAGGGGGGTGTAGCATGGTTGTCTGCGTATTTGGCCGTTCAGACTTTTGCCCTTCTTTTTTGTGAGATGTATTTTGTAGTATTTTTGTCACAGTATACGCCGTTACTTAATCCAGTTGCCGTTCATTCGTCTTACGGGCCGATCCGTGTTGGGCAGAACTGTGCGCCTTTGTATTCGTTTGGACAGTGCGTCATTTGATGTGCTGCTGGGAGCAATCGAGCTAGTCAGGCTACTGGCGTGGTAGGTATGTGTCGTGTGTGGGTTCCTATCGTCGGTCTCGCAGTTTGCTTTAAGTTTACCTCCGCAGCGTGCTGATTGAGGCTCGGTATCTAATCTGCATACCAGGCTCGAAGTTAGGGTCAGGCGCTTCTACTAAATGGCATGCGGTCATGGACAGAAATGGATGATAATGGTGAGCAATGTACATCGAAGGACGGAAGAATCAAATCATGTTGAATATGTTCCTCGAGAATCAGAATCAGAATGAACAAAACAATAATGCAACTTTTGATAGCTCCTTGGCGGGGAGTCGAACCCCGCTCTCCCGCGCACTGCGCTTGCAATGACAAGCGGGTGTACTAGCCGATATACTACCAGGGAGATGTTTTATGCAGTGGTACACAATATACACTTAAAGATTCCGAAGAGCACTGACGGAAGGAGTACTTTGGCAAGCCAATAGCTATCCCCAGATCGACTCATGCGTGATATTTCGCTCTTTCGGTAGCTCGCTATGCCCTCTGTGAAGTCGCTCTAGCGCGTGAGGCCAAGAACATCGTATCTATCCCACAAAGTAATCATTCGCATACGAGACTCTGAATCGCGCGCAGTGTTACCCAAGCAATACGCGAAACCATAACAGGCTATACGATTATATACACAGAACCTACTTAGAGATGACACAAGATTATAGTAGCGTGATGACGATGGATGCCCAAGAGGTCGTGTATGGTGTATACATATGCACCGAGTCGAGCGAAATAGAAAGCCAATACAGAGAGCAGCATAAGCAGGTGTAGTGTACAACATGAGAGACCGAGACCCGGAGAAAATAACAATATAGCATACAGCATACACAAACAGCGTTTGTAATGTTAAGAGCACTGTCAGTCAGGTGAGAGAGAGGTGTGATCTATGAGTCGCCGCCAAGCGCGCGGGAGATGCTAGGTCCGCCATGGTGCGCATCATATACGTCTGTATCGTGATCGTCAGTCAGCATTGTGCGTGGATGCGGCAAATATCCGAACTCACTGTTCTGGGGAAGTCCATTACGGTGATGGCCGTTTACTCCGTTGCTAACCATCCCTTCCTTCATGCCCATAACGCCAGATAGGTCTTGACCAAGGCTCGCCATCGGGTCTTGAGGATGCTCAGCTTGAACATTAACCGGCACAGACATTGCGCCAGATGACACGACCGGCACGACACCGCCATCGCCACTCGGGTTTGCCATACTTGGCATAGTGGCGTCCCGATCAGGCAACGCAGACGCGCGCCCTTCCACGCGCCGCACAAACTCGCCCCAGACGGCGGTCTCAGCGCGGCCCATGTTGATGAACGCGTTACGGACCGAGGCGTCTGCGCGCCGCCATACGCCGCGGTGCCGGCACACGGTGGACTTGACGTAGCTGTCCAACTGATCAGGGACGAGGCACTGATGAATGGACCATGGCGGCTTACCGGCAACCGAAAACACGCTCGAAGGCGGCGCGCTGGGTGAGCGTCGGCGTCTGCTGGATGAGGGTATCCATGTTGGAAAAACCAGTCGCAATCTCGTTCACCGTGTAGTCGTTGGGCCAGCGCTTGAGCGGTGGGTGTGGGTGGTACGGTATCGGGACGTGGAGAGGACTCGCCGCCGGAGTAGGTGGGTTCCCGGGGTGGTCCACCCCATCACGCGGGAGCGGCGTTGATGGAGGCTGCGGCATGGACTGCATTTGCGGCGATGGCTGAGGATGCTGCGAGGGTGTCCCGTGCCCTTGGTGATGCGCAGACGAGGGTGTAGGTGGTTGAGGCGAGTTCGCGACCGCGCTGTACAAGCTCGTATCGTAGACGTACTGTTGCGCCTTCTCGACGTCGTTCATCTCCTTTGGCGTCGTGAACGCAGGAGTCGGCATGCCGTACGGGTGATGCATGTTGTGTGTTACCGGAGTGGGAGGCGCGGGGTGCGCGGGGTAGGCGCCGGACTCGGCCACGTAGAACTTGGAGGGCCTGTCCTCATCGGCAGGAGCATCTGCCTGACGCTTGACGCCGTGTGCGCTGGGATAGCCATTATCTTCTGACGCGGTCCTAGCTCGAGTAGTTTGGAAGCGCTCTTGAGCTTCAAGTTCTTCGGCCAGGCCGGGGCATTCGTCCTCTTCCAAGCCTTCCAGTAGACTTTGCCGTAGTCGGTAGAGAATGCGTTGTTCTGTAGCGACGACACGAACTGTGCTGAGGGTGTGCTGTTCCCAGTGTCGCGCGCGAGGGTTGTACGCGTCTACGAAGCTTTGTGTGCTGAGGCTGAGGGCGCTGACAAGATGTGGGAACTGGGCTAGTGAAAGATACGGGAAGGAGGGCAGGGGGTTGACGACGCGCAAAGGCGCCGAGCCTGCCTTGTACCAGATAACGAGCATGACACTGCGTTTGTATGCCTCTGAGCTGTCGAGACCGGGTTCGGTGTCTCCGGGGAAGGCCATATGGCTATGCTGACTATTAGCTCAATTGCGGTAAGGCGTACGCGTCATCGACTGACCTTCGAAGTATTCACAAGAGTACCGAGGATTCAACTATATAAGAAATATCACAGAATAAAGCCTGCCGTCTACATCAAGACACGTTCAGCAACATCTTCGAGATCGCGTTCGCGGAAGCGGAATTACCTTGCGCGGCTAGTTGGCTATCAGTCAGCGACGGTCGAAGCGCGCCGGGCAATATTTACAGGCAATAAGCCTGCGGGAGGGACGCAGACTGCACGGAGATGAGACAGCATGGTGGTCAGCGACGAACGACCAAGGGGATAAGACCGGAACGCACCAAAGGTCTCGTCAAGGACGGGACGTGGAGGTCGTCGGCCAACGGTCCTTGAGTCTTGGTGCACGCACCGGTGACACATCCCACGTGGGTCCACGCGAGCAGCACCGACGGTCCACGGCTCACTTTTCCGCTTGATCGCGATGGCGGCGACCGGTCTCTCGTCCCACACGGCAACGATATTGGAGTCTACGATGCCCGCTCGCAGCATTTCGTAGTCTTCAGAGGGGTTTCGACAATAGTACTTGCCCGGACAGCTTCAATGGCCCAATCAGGCGCCCACAGCTCCGGAGAGGCGCCCGTGAGTATGACGCGGCCAGTATTTGGCAGCAGAGGTCTTGGCCTTTCCAGATCGCCTGAGTGCCTCTAGCCTTTCTCAACAATGAGAGTGATCGATGTAGACAGCATGCATTACAGAGTACGAGTACAACAGTGACAACTTATATACAATATTTGAAGAAAGCAGTACGAGCAGAGCAAGTAGAGAACATCCCACTACGCCTCGACATCGAACACAACACGAGCGCTAACCCACGCGTACGGGTAGTTGTGCTGGTAGAAGTTGCGCGCGGTGCGCCGACCGGCCTGGCGCGGAATAGTAGCGTACGACCCACCCAACTGTAGTGAAAGTATTAGTATAATGACAATATGAATGCGAAGCAGTACTCACGACGACCTGGTGAACGTTGTCAAAGAAGTCAGAAGAGTAACCAGAGAAGATGGTCGTGGGGTCGAAGCCATCATGCCTGTCGAACTTAGTGCTGGTCCACTCCCAGACGCCGCCGTTTGTGCCGCGCTTGCCGTCGATACCAGCATTAGATCTGTGATCGGAGGGTCAGCCCGATGCGCTTAGACAGCAGGAAGGTGTAGACTCACGGTACCGGGTGCCAGTTGCGGAACCCAACATTCCCGTCCTCCTCGTACCCAGTGTTATACGAGTCGAGGAACAACCTCAACTCAGCCTCAGTTGGCAACCGACCGCCCTTCCCCTTCGCGTACATCTCCATATGGTCATATGCAGCCATAACGGGCCACTGCTCCGCGACATCCATGCCCACAGGCCCAAACGCCGTGCGCACCATGATCTCGCCATCCTCCTCTACCCAGCTGGCCGGGATAGGAAGCGACTTGGTTCGCCACCACGCGAGGTACTCGCCGTTGCTGACTGGGCGCCATGATGCGCGGAAGGCACCGACGTGGACTGTACGAGCGGGAGACTCGTTATCCCAGCCGTACCCGCGGTTCGTGGTCTTGTACTTGAGCTCGGGGAGGAGGTCGTCCGACTCCTGGTCATCCCAACCGAGCGTCACCTCTGCAGGCCCAAGAGTGACAGTGGGCTCAGTCGGAGGTGGGATTGTCGCCCATTGCTTGGCGAGTTCGGGGAAGAGAGGCGTGGGGAAACCGGGAGGCGGAAGGGTCCCAGTGCCAGCGCGTTGGATCAGCATATACAGCAGCGTCTACAATGACAACGTCAACGATGAGAAAGATATCGACGACGAAGTGCGGAAACGAACCTCGACGTGCCAAGCTTCGTGCTCATACGCGCACATGAGCACACGTCCAAGCCGGCGGTAGATCGTGCGCTTCCCGCTCTCGAGATCTTCGTATAGCTTGAAGGTACGGTCACGGACACGAGTGCGGAAGGTGATGATGTCTTCGAGGGTAGGCCAGTCTTCCGCCTTCGTTGGAACCACAGAGTGTCGCTACAAGGACGTAAGCAAGATTGAAGTGCAAGGTGAATGAGTATACGCACATGGCAATGCTCGGGATCGTCGACGTGAGGGTCGATACCGCGCTCAAAGATCTCAGTGAACCACTTCGGCTCAGTGTTGGGCTCGCCAAGCTCCTTGCTCAGGACCATGTCCAAGAACCTGAGAACGTCGTGAGACATGGGCTACACGCTATAATAAAACAACCGTACGTCGGGATATGGCCGAGGTAGAACAGGCAGATATGGCGAAGGTCGATAGGCTTGACGTGCAGCATCTCACGGGGAATCATGCCCAAAGTGACCGTATCCCAGGTCTTCCATAGCTGCTCCCAGTCTTCACGTGAGGGAATACCGAATGGGTGTGCGGTGGGGTTGAGAGGGTTTGCAGGTGTAGCTGCGAGTGTGGGGTACGTGAAGGGCGGCCGGTAGAGGACGTCGACATTGAGCGCGGAGGAGACCGGGAGCCTGATCTGAGAGGTCAAGCCGGCGTTGGAGAACATGGGGTAGGCGGTGGCTGGAGGGACCTGGAAGGGGGTTACCGCGGAGTCTAACGAATAGAGGTGTACACATACAAGTTCGGACTTCACGCCTGTTGTGCCATCGATCTGAACACTAGCGAGACCGGCGATTTCGCGCGCCTTAGCTAGTGCGTCGGACACCTCCTTGGGAGAGCTAGCGCCGCTGACATATAAGATCCGGTCGCCTTCTTCAAGTTGGGAGCCGAGTTTCTTGAGTACTGATGGCTGACCGAGGGCGAGGTATTGAGAGGGTCCGGGAGGCGGTGTCGACGGCGCCGTGGAAACGGGTGAGGCAGAAGACGAGGATGACGACGATAACATGGCAGATTGAATGGGCCGGATGAGGGACGGAGAGCGAGAACGAAGCCGACGGATGGACGTCTGCACGAAAGACATGAACGGGGAGGATGGAGGTTCTCGCGACGCGATGATGAAACAGCAAGGCGGGGAGCCCGTCTTTTATAAAGATGATATGTACACATGTGCAAAGCGAAATCGAACTGGCGCATATGCGCTCGAACCAATTGTACACGGCAAACTTTCCCGACGCGCGCCCTTATCCCCACGCGGAGGGGTTGCTCCTGATCGCCAATCCATCCGTTTCCGCCGTGGCACGCTCCATGGCACGCTGTAACTGGGAGACCATTGAAGTGTATCCAGTCCACAGGTGTAGAGCTCATGGTCCATACGCTCGTGAAGCTTCCAGCGGTGCCGCCGAGTTACACCAACGTCCTCCAGCCTGAGTTCGTCGCAGAGCCCTTTGAGTACTGGGGAGTGTATCCACGCGCTATCGGCCAATCGCACAGATGGGGTTGCTTGTTAGTCATTTAGCCACGCTGCCACGGGACATATTGTGTAAGGAACATCGCGCCGAGATGCGCCAATTCCGAATGAGAAGCGCGATAAGGAAGCTATTTGAGAGTCCCCCTTGTCCGTCGTGAGTGAGAGAATAGAGTGGTCGGCTTAGAGAGAGTTAGACCGGCCGTACTGGTGCATAGAGCCTTGAACAGAGCCGCCGCCAGCGTTTCAAGACAGAAATCGACAATATTTTCGCCAGAGATGACTTCCTGCACCTGACGATTTGACTAAAGCGCAGCGCGGCGGCAAACGTGATCGGCGGCCGCCAAGAGAACCCTCGCGGTATCACAGTCAAGCGGAGGAGCTAGTCCCGAAGTTTTGGGGAGGAGAATCGAGCCGAACCAGCGCGGGGAGAGTACAGTAACGAACGTCCAAAGTAGTCCGCCGGGCCAGAACCGAACCGGTTTGATGGGTGCCAGATGTGCTTGAGGTGGTGTGCAAGTGTACGCCCAAGATGCCGGAGATTCCTGGCGCTTTCGGATGCGCAGAAGGCAGCAGAGAGGACCTGGTGGAAGCTGGAAGAGAGGATCGCGACGCGTTGAGTTGTGCGGAGGGCAAACGCTGCACAACACATAGACTCACGATGGCGTGCTCGGTGCACACGCGCTTCCGGCAACTGCCGTGTGCCTCAAGTTCCGAATCCGCGTCGCGGCTCTTGGGGCGGAGTCTGCCTGCGGCGCATGCCTTACCAGCACCCAGCCACTCAGACATCACAGTGAACAATGGCTCGAGCCCTCTTTATCTGTGTACCAGGTCTGGGAAGGGCTCTAATGCCCATTGCTGAAAGGCCTAAGCTCAAATAACTACTAGAACATAGAAAATGATGTAGACGAGGGTTCCAACACAAAGCCCGATACGTCGATCATGAATGTAGAGCTCCCAATAAGAGGTTCGATGGCGCTGGGCCTCAAAGTACACGAGGAGGAAGGGGGTCTGAAGTCAACTGGAAAGGCCATCTGCTCTTGTTGGTAACAGAAGGCGATCGTACAGTCCAAGATACACTGCCTGACGTGTGAATCGTTGTAAAGCAGATCCCTCATCCTATTTCTCAATTCCATCCGATCCTCCGGTGTATCAACCGAATCGGCGTCAATGAGCTCAGTGACGCGATGGCACCACACGCCGTACGAAGTTGATCGAAGATAGCTGCACGTCGCGGCCACAGCCTTCTCCAGATCGCGATAGTTCGTCGTGTTGAAGTCCATGATAGCTTGGGCAGCAATTTTTCTGCGCTCATCGCGGTACTGGGAGATACGCTCCTGCTTGCGGCTATCGAGCAATGTCCTGAGCTCCGGAAGACGCGATCGGAACTCTAGTGGTATCATCCAGCTAGTCAGACACTGACAGATCTGGACTCTGAGCGATCTTGAACGCACCGTTATTCGTCAATTGACCAAAGCGCCTACATCTCGCTAGGTAGGCGTCTAGTACAGGTGTGACATCCATGGTCAAGTATCCAAGACCCTCGAGGCGTTGTTGAAGTCTGAAGAAATGGAAATCAGTATACGAAGATGCGCGTCGCACATAAAGAGAGCATACGCTGCACGACGAGCCCGTTTACCCGCCTCTTGACGCGCCTTGAAGATACTCGAGTCTGCTTTAGGATTGGCTGCTAGACTCAGATCGTAGACAAACTCGGCTTTCTATGCACAGCAAGCATGAATGGGGTCAACACCTTGAGCAAGACGTAGGACACCATCGAACTTACCTCGGCCGCTTCTTTCCCCTTAGCCTCGTACTCGTCGAAGAGTCGATGGAAGCATACATGCGCCTCCCGGTCCGCACAATCATCTCCGCAGACCAGATGCAGATTCGATAGGCGCTCCCTCAACCCGTGCCCATCCCGTCTCTGCAGACCCTCCCACGCCAACACCACATCGTTCCAAAGTCCCTGGACAATCACAAGCGACCAACGCGCCTGATGCGTCCCAGCGCCTTTGAATAGAGGCAAGACGCGCTTGATGACGTTCATGAGATCTCCTGTGACCTTGGCGGGGTATACGCCGCGGCCACCTTCTTTCCGTCGGCCCATGATATCGAGCATATGCCCGCGCAACTGCTGTACGGATCCACAGGTCCTGGTGTCTGATGAGCAACAGTGTAAGAGCTAGTGGAGACGGCGTACTCCGTAAAGTAGTGTTCATGACAGAGGCGCCGACGACCAAGCAAGTGCACAAAGTCCCCATCTCGGTTGCACGTCTTCAAACCATGTTCGTCAGTCTATGCATTCGTGAATCAGCGGTGCCGTCGCTTACCGTGACAGTGCACTTCATCTTGTGCTCTAACGTCGCAAGCATCAAGATACCACGGGCGTCTTCCGGGGAGAACGGCAGCTCCGAGTAGGGTCTGTTCATGAGTCGGGATATCATGTTACGCCAAGGATATGATGCTGCAAGGACACCGCGTAGATCCTTACACACACGTCCGAGACGAATGAGCGACATCGGATCGACCTCTGCCATGATCTAGCGCCAATCAGTGTGCCTCTCAGATGGATATAGATACGCCTGCGAACCTCTTGCACGAGTTCGAGTGGCAAACTCAGAAGTCGAGATGGCGCCTCAACGCCCTGGACGTCGGTGACTGAGTTACCTTGATCCACCTGCATCGCGTCGTCAGGCGTCAGACGCCCTTGAGTGGAGTTTGGCTCGTAGTCCATCAAATCCTGATAATACATAGGATCCATGGGATAGAGCGGAGAAGGAGCCAAGGGAGAGGAAGGGCATGCTTGGAGGGCAACGGGTTATATAGCCCACGCAGCTGTGGCAGAGCGCCCAGTTTCATGTACGCTTTCGGTTGCGCGGACCACACTCGGGGCGGATTCGGTGGCGTTTTCCCCAAAGAGATGAATGTGTGTAGGAACACGAGGACAACCGTCGTTGAGGCTTTCTGGAGCGGTGGGCCACAGAAGGGCAAAAGACGCAAGGTCATCCTTTGCTCGCTCCGGCTGTAAACTCAGTTATACATCCATCAGATTAGGACATTCAGTTGCTTGGGCTCGGGGGCGCCCAGCATCATGGTGGTCGAGAGCAGGTGAAAGGCGCGTCTGCAGCGGGGCAACGTACAGGCACGCGCTTGTGCCTCGTTGCCGCGACAGACCCCGACGTCGAGGCAACGTCCCTCTAACCACCACGATCTACTAGATCTCCAGGAATCTACGGGCCTCTTCAGCCTTGAAGCTTGAATTTTGAACATGGATCCTGCCATCTTCCTGTAGATGTACATGGACGTCGCAACTCAAGTACCTCCATCTGGGCCGGCGGTCTCGCCGGCGACGCTGCCAGATTCGGAACGTTTGATGCCCGAGCCATGTCAGTAGACAGCTACGGCTGCCAACTCTTTCCCGCCGCTTTCTTGTCAACGGTCATCATCCGTTGCTTAGCGCCATGAGTGAAGACGCTGAAAGATCAGAGGCCTTGCCTACACCAATACTGGCAACTGTGCCTCAGCCATTTCCCACTACTGAACCTGCTTCTGGTATGTCGCGACAAGCTTATGTGCCACATAAATCTTTCTGACTTCAAGCTATAGCTTCGCTTTCTCATGAATCGTCGAAAGCCTCTGAGCTTACAAGTTCTGACAAGCTCTCTGAGCTACCGTCTCCATTCGCCGCAACACTTCCGTCACGACGCCGGCATCATAGTCTTGAGGATACCCCCGCATCACATTCAGCACCGGAGATACGGAGGCTAGGAAACACCAGCTCTCCTGCGCTTCAACAAGCAGCCGACTCGAGCGAGGGTTCCTTGGGGCGTATCGGACGCTCGGGCACGCGCGTGAGCTTCGAGAGCGATCGTACATCTCTGCCCAATGCTACCCCACGCATGAACGCCAGCCCGCGGCCAAATGCCAGCCCCCGCCTTCCAGCATCAGATAGCGGTCACGCGCACGCACACCAGTACCCCTCTATGGCAATTCCTTTTCGCGCTCACTCGCACAAGGACAGCGGAGGTCCCGAGAGCCCACGTAGTCGCACTTCGTCGCCGTTTCGGGCGGTCATGGATCGTCTGCCTACTCTGCAACGCCTTCGCTCGCGAGAAGAACCATGGATCGCCGTTGATCCATTCCGCTTCTTACACCTGTCGTCCTTGCTTCTGCCCCACAAACATCCCCATTTAGCCTCTAATGGGGAACCCATCAACTGCCGCTGCATCCCTCTCCTGCATTCGACGACGTTTCACGCTTTTCACATCTTCATCTTCGGCGTCTTACCAAGGAGCCTGTATTTGCACATACTGCTACGCCTGCCCTCGCTCTACTTCTCTCGAGTAGCGCGCATCTTCGAGGATGCGGAACTCTCACGGCCAGATATGGATCGCGTCGTGGAGCTATGCATGTCATACACCGACTTGCCCGCACGGGCCCGTTCCCCGCTACCGGACCCTGAGTCCTGGGTCCCGCCCGTGGTCTCTCCTGCACTCGCGCGCTTCAAGCGTAGCTGGGAGACATTCATCGAGCAGCTACTCCGCGAATGGAAGACGCTCAACCTCGTCAGCGCGCTGCTACTCTCGGCCATCTTAACGATGTTCCAAATCCCGTCGGCGGCGAACGACACTCTCACGCGGACCGCGGCGCTGCTCAGCCTCATCTTCGCAACGATGAGCGTGAGCTATGGTTGCGTCTACATTGTACGCTTCAGTACAATGAGGAGCATGTATCGCGCGAGCAAGTGGGCGGATGAGGCGCGGCGAGCTGAGGCGCGCGTATGGTGGAATGCGTGGGTACTGCTCGCGCTGCCTGCAGTATGGCTCGCATGGTCTATGGTCGCGTTCCTCGTTGCCATCCTCTCCTTCGTCTGGCGGACTGGTGCGCGCGATGATCCTGATGACGACTCGCGAGACAGGGAACTACCAAAGGATCAGATGCTCGGCCCCCGCATCACCATCACAGCAGTACTCGCGCTCGGTCTCGTCTACTTCGCCTTGGTCATCTCCACATTCGCGCGATATAGCAGCAGTCGTCCTAGGTGGTGGCGGGAGACTGACTTCGCGCTGCGTTCTGGCGAGACGCAGAGTGACCGCGGACGTGGTCGCGTGCGCGATGATCGAAGTTCTGCGCGCTCTAGGAGGGAACGAGAGCGAGGCGCTATGGATGGTGGTGGAGAAGCTATTGGTCTTGGGCTTAGGCCACCTGAGAAAGGCGATGGAGACGGAGCTAGCGGGTCGACATCGCCGTATGGGCGCTGAGATGACCCTAACATCGTCACTACTGTACTGTACTTTCTCATCTCGCAAGCACGATGGACATGATACCTCGATTGAATGCGCCCATACCTGCACGATACTCATACATTACACTTATGAATCTCCATTCATGGTACCAAGGCCGTATAGATTGGAGAAGGTAGTATCGGCATTGTGTATGACGAAGTTACGGTGATTGCCGAAAGTGTCCATCACGCTTCCGCGATCTGATGCGACGAGTGTCAACGCCTTGCCTCAGACCACGTTGATGCCGACAAGAAGAATGGGGTACACCTTCAGCTGAAAAGCTGTTTTATGACCGTATGATGAGCAATAATTGATGAAGCATGGCACGAGTTGGGTAAAAGCAACATGCAAGTGGCAAGACTCACTCTGACTCACTTCATAAAGGATCATCTACTCACTTGTGGCCCCTCGTCGCTGCTATCATGTTTGCCCAGCCCGCCCAGCCATCTGGCAGTCGCCACGGTACGCTCACTGCGCTCTAGATTCTCCATATGACTGGCTCATATAATTACCGCTGTATAGGCGACGTCCCGATGCACGACCACCACACAAGACCAGCGTACAGCCACGAGCACAGACCATCCGAGCCCGCGCCCCAGCCTCCTTCAAGTCCGGTCTTCAATCCTTACCCCTACAGTCCTCTAACCGATGTCGAACTATTCGAGATGCGCACCCGCCTGCTTTACTGCAAGACCATCCTAAACGAGATCATTGAATGGTTGACGCGTCTCATCCGGTTCTCGCCCGATAGCAAGGAGTGGATACACCTCAAGGGAAACGAGTGGAACCGGCACCCGTTCAAACCGGTCATGCTCAACTTCATACAGTCTGTCAGAAGTCGCGAACACGATTTTGCGGTCAATGCGCACGCTTCGGGACGGAAAGACCGCGCGGAGAGGTGCTGGGACGCGGTTCAGGGAATAGCTCAGATCCAGTCTTACGTCGAGGATGGCATTCCCAGGCTACACGATGCTATGATGAGGCATGAGCTCATTCTAGAGGGCAATACGTGAGTGTCATCGAGGTCTGATTGCTCTTGTTCGAAAGGCTCACACGGTTGCAGATCACCGTACATCTACGATCCCCGCTGGAGGCCTTAGAGACCAATGTGCGACTGTCACTGTACGTAGATGACGATCCCAAGTTCATTTAACCGGCTCTTGTCAGCAACCCCGATGTTCATGTACGTCAAAGAGTCCGCTGTGTGAGCCACCATACCCGGCTTCTCTATGCCTGCGCTCCGTGTGCTCTTGTTATTGTGCAACGCTAGTCCCAAGAAACTTGCCGGAACGAGCGAACCCGAGCAGCGCACGATAAAGTGCTAACTATTATCGAGGTCTCCCTGTCAGGGATGCTTCGGACGACTGACACGCAGATCATGAACAAGAACACGTTTACCTGCTGATCATTGGAGCGGTGAACTTCATCCTTCAGGCGTTTGGGGCACTGTTGACGGGCGTGATGACTCATGATGTCGCATGTCGCATGCGTGTTCAGGTAGGCTGCATAGGAGAAGCTATATAGCAATCGCCCGCTGCGCTACTGACAAAGCCGGCGCTGCGATGTACACCCGTCCAGGCCCTGCTTATTCCGCTAGTAACGCTCACCGAGCCGGCGGTAAGTCAATTCATCTCGGGATCATCACCTATACCAACATCATCGAAATCTCATTTCACGTAGCCAGCAGTTCCAGGTATGAACCCTATGCACGACGCACATCAACGTATCGCTACGAGCCTCTGCCCTCGCAACTTCCGCCCGCACCCGCATCCGCGTCCGCATCTGCATCCACATCCGCATCCGCACCTGCTCCACCTAGCGATGCCGAGTCAACCAAAGCGATCGATCCTCTCGAGGAGTACAGGACTCAACGCCACTACTCCGCTATCTTGAAAGAGATCGCGACCTTCATCGAAGATCTAATCAGATTCTCTCCCGACAGCATCTACTGGAAAGACTTCGTCGGCGCCGAGTGGGATCGGGACATGTTCAAACCTCTCATCATCAACTATATGAGGACAATCATTGCTCGAGAGAACGATCTCGGGATCAAGTGTTATGTCGACGACGAAACTCGCGCGCATAGGCATTGGCATACAGCGCACGCAGTGATGCAAATGAGGCATTATGCCGAGAAGGGTCTGCCAGTGCTGTGCGACGTCATGACGAGGAACGAACTGATACTCATGGGAAGTCGGTAAGTGTTACGCATACCATATGCTCGCAAGACACGGCGCTTACTCAAGTCCCCAGGATTCCATACGTGCACGATCATCTGTGGGACCCCAGAAAGTACAAATAGTATATCCCGTATACAGCCGCTCTGAAGCCTCCAATTACTCGCGTCCTTCGCGCCTATCAGGTCTCTTATCTTCCCATAGCCTTGCAAAGCGTATAATGCACAGTCTGGAGTGTCGGTAGAATGGCCGATCAGTTGATATTGATTGACCGTTCGCGTCGCCATCGCTGGCCTCAGTCTCTTAGCCACTAGAAAGTCGGACGTACTTCCATCACACGGTGCCTCAACTGTGGGAGTCGGCTGAATCTTAGCTAGCAAAGCGTCACTGGGGAGAACGAGCGGAACGGTCGGTTTCCGGACGAAGTCGACAACACGTAAGTATGTGAATTGTCCATGGTCGTCAGACGCAGTCTGGTATATGTCAATGCGGGGGTAGTACAGACTGAGAGCCAGGAAGGAGATGGAGACTTAGTGGTACAGGGCGGTAAACCAAAGCCGGGTGGAGACAGAAGATTGCAGCATGGATATATGAGATGAAGCACGAAAACGAAAGCCGGAAGCGCGTGGAGACTACAAAGACAGACGTGATGGGTACAGAGATTGCGCAAGGTGTGGGAAATTGATAAGACGAAAGCATGCAGAGCAAGGCGAGACGGGGTAGTGGTGGTATAGGGGGATTAGACGTCCGGGAGACGGGAGCGTGGGCTTGGGCCTGGAGTACTAAGTGACTGGGCCGGCGCAGCGAGTTTGAATACATGGTTCATCTGTATACGAAGTTGAATGATCGTGGCCGTCGATATAACTGACGCGGTCATACCTGATTAACTTGACGTTGGAGTTGCGAGAGGATTTCCTCCGCCTCTTTACGTTTCTTCATTTCGTCCTGTAGTTGCTGGTTCACTGCAGGACCCGTGAGCAACCAATTCGTTCGAAGGTAGATGCGTAGAACGTACGACCGCGGTATATGCAATCTTGAACGACTTGGCCGATAGGGGCTAGTACGGAGTGCGGCAGAAGAGAAGCACCGGAGGCACGCTCCTGCTCACGCTCCTCCTTCAAGCGCCGAATCTCAGCCGTCAGACGAGCATTCTCCTCCGAAAGGCGTGTGTTCTCGGAACTCAAACGGGTAATCTGCATCATCTGGTGCGTATTCCCATCGAGCGGACTGCTATGACTCTGACTCTGACTTTGAGGCGACGGGTATGAGGTAGACGCCAGAGATGTCATGTGGCCTTGGCCTGAGCCGGATGGGGAAGCGGCTTGAGAAGGTTGAAGCGATGCGGGCATTTGCGAGATGGGTTGCCACAGTGTACCGCTGTGCTGTTGTGGGGTTTGCTGAAGCTGAGGTGGTCGAGGGGCGAGACGTGGCTGAGAACTCGAGGCCGTCAATCGCTGCGAGTGTATACCGGGCGAGATAGGATCATCGAGGGCCATTGACAGGCTTGAGGATGAACCATAGGATGTGGGCTGTTGAGGGAAGATGTTCGACTGTAGATACAGCGACTGCTGCGTCTGAGCGGGAGACGGCATGAAAGGCGTGATCTGTGGCGCATGCGCACTCGGAAGTGGGACATTGCTCAGCGATAAGGGCGACGGTTCCGGCTCCTTGATGATTGGCTCCTCTGAACGACGTCGGCTCGAAGGACGCTCGTTTGGCGGTGTGCTCTCTCTTTCTTCGCGTTTTCTCCGACGTGATGGGTTGGCGTTTGACTCTTCTTCCTCAAACTGCAGGATCTTCTCGATGGCCTCCGGAGCAGATCGCAATGGCCGACGGTTCGCGCTGTCAAGGTCGCGACCAGCACCGCCATGAGGCTGGGGACCTTCCTTGAGCAACCTCTCGCGCCCGTAGTCGTCCTCCTCGCCGCGCTCCTGCATCGACGCATTCTTTCGAATACCATCGGCCGTATACCATAAGACGGACTTGCGCGTGATCCAGAGAAAGCGACCCGTCACGAGGGGATGTGGGTGCATGTCCTTCTTCGACTTGTTGGGTCCTCTCCATATCTCCCATGCAGTCCTACCACACGCCCAGAGCTGATAGTGGCCAGGTCGAATATCTAGCCAAACATCCCCTGGAGTACCCACGTCGGCTGGAGGGTCCCCTTCACCGCGAAACTCCAAATATGGTATCTGTGGCGTGCCATACGTCAGACCTCAAACGCCTCCAAACAACGTCGTTAAACTGCGACTTACCGTGGAGGCTCCATTGGAAGTATCGCGCGCGACCTTATACGGGAAATCGGCAGGTAAAGGATCCTTATGGCTGAACTGCTTCTGTTCACAGACAAATCGGACGTGACTAGTGCTGGACGTCGGATGCGGATTATCGATACACGGATGCTGAGGCTTTCTCGAGCTCTGAGACATAACCAGTCAAAACAAGTCGAAGTTGTCTGAAACGGTGAGGCGAGGGGTCCAAGGAGAGGGACCACCAGGCGAGATGATGGGGTGAAGGGACCCGCACTTGACTCGCGCCGCCGTGAGGCAGGCTCTCAGGCTACGCCGGCAAATGCCGTCGCTCTGATGCTTCACCTTGCTTCTGGCGCCGTTCCTGCTAACAGCTATTCGTGCCTGTCTGAGTGGATCTTATGAAGAATAGTACTTGAAAGCAGATGGTTCATCTGTACCCGAGCAAGTAGGGTGCTAGTATATAACCAAGGTTGAAATCATGCACCGTCAATCAAGACACCGCTTGTACTTCGCCGACAACCTCTCTCCAACTGGATCTCGCAGAGTTCTCCGCATCGATAGCATCCATCGCAACGACTGCCTCAGGAGGCGCGTAGAGCTCTTCGAGAGCCAGCTCGTGTTGGTGGACTTGGGCTAACCATTCCCGGAGGACGGTCGCAGCTTTGTCGGTAGCGTGTGCGCTGGAAAGCGAACTCTCCAGATGTACGACTGGAGGCCAACTCTTCACACACTGTGCGCCTTCGTGAACGGCACGCGTCGGCGTCATGTAACGCGGTCGTGCATTCTCTAGCGAGTCCTGCGCTATGTGGAGAGTCCGAAGCGCGGGCATCTTGGTCTTGAGATCCCAGCTTGCCATGCTCGTAAGGCCACTGTACTCCGCATCAAGGTACAGATCGGTTGTCATGTCGTAGTGTGATCCTTCCAACAACTTGGGTAGCTCGTCTTCTTCGTCCGTGTACCTGAGGATCTCCACGTCCGGCAGCTCAGACTTGCGATCCTGGTCGCTCCTCCATAAACGTAGCTGGGTGTTCAGCGCGACGGGATTGTACTGCGAAGACGCGGAACATGATGTCGGTCCTCCACCGCATCCCATCCATGCTTTCAAAATGCTTCTGTACCTCTCGGTGTTGGCAGAGGATCCATGTAGTGGTTTGAACGCAATTTAGACGGTGGAGCTATGCATCGCAGCGACAGCCGCGTTCTAGTTGAGGGTTTCAGAACATGAAGGCTCTTCAGATGTTTGGATGTCGAGGCTGAGACCTCTAATCGAGCGAGACTCTCCGGAAGAGGGACCCTGAAGCGCTCGGTGCCACTGCTCGTGGTGCTTTTACCGATGAAACCGACCATATCGAGGACTAGCTCCTTGCACGCCTTCATCCCAGAAAACACGGGCACATAGTTCGCAGCCTGCACAACTACGTCCGAAATACGTAGCGAAACGATGTTATGGCATAGACGGGCAGTGTGACATACGAAGCACTGGCGTAGAGTATGATTGGATATGGTTACGTGTTCGGAAGATGTGAAGAGATCCTCGTTGGTGTTGGCACCGGGTGTGCTGCAGTATAGTGTGATGGATTTGAGCATGGGAAGATTGTACAAGTAGTCGTCGATACTACATATGGACTGAGAGCCGAATTCGAGGGAGGCGGAACGAATGCGACGGAGATGACTGGGAAACGAAGTACACAATTCACGGATGAGGTCGGAATAATCGACAGTGTTTATCGATAGGTTTGTCGACTTCGAGCGAGTGAAACGAGGCCTTAGTAGAGCTAGCTTATCATGTTTTCGTGGGACGTATAACGCGTCCCATAATGTGGCTGCCGCGAGAGCAACACGACGAGAGCGCCGCGAGATACTCGTAACGGCCTTGATCCAGCGCCAAATATGTCCCGCATTCTTTTGCGTAACCGCACGTCGATGAGCGGAAGCGCGAGAAAATTGAAATATCTCGAGCCATATCTCACCCGGTAGAGCGTATATCGGGGTGTACTTAGAGTTGTCCAGCTCTTTAGCGCGGGCAAGCGCCTGTTCAAGACAGACGATATCCTCTGACAGTTAAGCTTTGTCTTCAGCCACGGCGGGCACGAGCCTAACTCGTGCAACTTGTGACCAGGGATTAGTGCTATGCGATAAGCGTGGGCTCGGGGATATACCGAGAAACGCACGTCTGATTCTTTCCCGTGCCACCGAACATATCTTCCCTGAGCCGACAATGTAACCCGGACACGAGGATAACTTGAGTTGTTCAGACAGTAGCTTGCTGCGTAGAGCGTAGAAGCAAAATATTATGGTTCTCGTGGCCGCTGTGGCGGCGCTTACCCGGAGATGGTGGTGGTGGGTTGAAGCAACCCACCGAGCGCGTTCAATCACGCCTCACGGCGGACTCGACGCGTCGCGTCACGACGTTGTCACGCGCTCTGGCCTTCGCCAGGACCGAGGTTGACTCGGTCAAACTTGCCACGACACTCTCACCGGAGCCTTTAGTTGACCAGACACTTAGATGCTTATTGATAATACGAGTACGCAATAGCACGATCTTGATACTCGGAGCGGGAAATTATCTAGGAAGTGCCGCTCGAGACGTGAGAGGTGAACTCTTAGGCGTGCAAATTCCTCGTTCTACTTCCGACGATTTTCTTGCAGTAGCACTTCTGAATCTTATATTGGGCACACTAGATACTTAGATATGAGAGAGTTGCAGGCCAAGCAACGAATCAAATACGGGCGCGTATCAGTACAACTGGACAACCTCGGCCACCCCTCTCCAACATTGGACATTCGCGAGCTCGCGCGTCTCCGCTTCGAGAGCGTCCATTGCAGTCCCTATCTCCTTCGGCAGACGTATTTCTTCGAGGAAGAGCCCGCGTCGATAGGTCAGAGCCAACCATTCACGGAGAGTACCCGCGGCTTTGTCGATCTCTTGCGCGCTACGACAAGGCGAGCTTTCAACATGTAAGACTGGTGGCCAAGCCCTCATCCGCGGTGCACCTTCAAAAAAGGTGGTAACAAACACAGAGTAGTGCGGCAAAGTATCCTCCAGCGTAGTCTCGGCGACGTGTAGAGTACGAAGTGCGGGCATGATCACGGTTTCTAGTTCCTCCCAGCACGCGGCGCTCGCGATGTTGTACTCCAGGTCGAGGTATAGATCTGTTGTCATCCCGTATTCGGGCCCCTTCAGCAATTCGGAGAGCGTGTCGTCTTCATCCGTATACAAGACGACTTCCACATCCGGCACCGAAAGGTCAATTCGATTCGGAACGCCCCTCCACATGCGCAACTGTGTGTCCAGCGCCACAGAGTTGTACCGCGAAGAGACAGAGCACACTGCCGGACCTCTACCATATCCAAGCCATGTCCGGAGGATGCTGGTATAACTCTCCTCAAGTGATGGCGTGTTCAGTAACGCATCGGGGGTGTGCCAATCAGCTGGTGGAGCCGTGTAGCGCGTTGTCACGCGTGCGTTAGGGGAGGGTGCAAGGGTCTGGAAGCACCGAATTGTATAGTATGTCGAGACGGTGACCTCGAGCCGTTCAAGGCATTCCGGTAGTGGTACAGTGAAGGGCTCCGCGTCCTCGACAAGGCATACCCTAGCGAGAACAAGTTCCCTCAATGCCTTCGTCCCAGAGATAATCGGGACATAGTGTTCTTCAGACACGATCGCGTCCTCTATGCGTAGTGAGACGAGGTTCTGGCATATACATGCCGTATGGGAAAGGAAGCAGCGTTGTAGGACAAGACTAGATAGTGCGGGATGTCCAGTGGAAGTTTCGAGGGGAATCGCCCGCTCGTCCGGCGTCGTGCAAGATATCGTGAGCGATGAGAGATTTGGCAGAAAATGCAAGTATTCATCGATGTACCAAGGCGGCAACTCTTCTGTGTCTTCTTCTTCATACTCGAGTGTCACGGTGCGAACGCGACGCATGTGTTCAGGATATATCCGACGCAGGTACTGGATTATTTCCGGAACACCGGCAAAATGAAGATGTAGGTCTCGCGTTCTGGAGCGAGCGAGGTGCACGCCGAGCAAATTCGACCATGGGTCCGGCTCATGTATGTGCAACTGATCCCATAGGGAGGAGGCATTGACGGAGATACGGCGAAGCCGATGGGAGAGATGTGTGACCGACTTCATCCATTGAACGATGGGGCCTATAGTCCGACGGTCGTCGGCTTTTCGATGTGCGTAGGCGCGGGCGAAGTGGAATATCTCCAGCAGAGTTTCGTCGGGAAGAACATAGATCGGGGAGTAGTGGTAGTTGTACATTCGTTTGGCATGAATAAGGGCATCCTCAAGGCGACTAATATCCTCGGCCATCCGGGCCTCGCCCTCAGTCTTGGACTCATCCGGTCGCCGAGGCACAATCCTCACTTGAGCAAGCGGGGTCCACGAGTCGCTATTTCCAAGTTCAGAGTGGCGCGAGATATTTCGTCGAGATACGCACTTCGAGTTCTGCTCTTCTCTGCGGGACATCTTCCCAAGGCGCGCCAGCAACCTGGCTCGCGTGGAGGCGTGAGGTGGTAAGAGGACAAGACGCGCCTGCGCGTTTGTTGAAGTTCGCCGCGTCTTGGTGAGTCGCGTGCAGACATCAACAACGTCGGCTCGATCGCCCAGGCGCTCTTCTCCCAGAACAACCCCGCGTACGACCCCACACAGGCCACCGCGTGGCAGGCAGCGCAAGTGAGCACCATCAGCGTGATGAACTTCGCCGGGCGCGTGGCCATCGGGATCGCGGCGGATATCGTTCTGCATGACGGGCGTCGCGGCGCTGTTTATCGTCAGCCAGCTCGTGCTGATTGGTACGGGCGACGTGCGCAGGCTGTGGATCGCGAGCGCGTGTCTTGGGTTCGCGTATGGGTCGCTGTTTGGGCTGTTGCCGACGCTTACTATTGAGTGGTTTGGACTCGGTGCGCGGTCCACTCGATCTACTTTGCAGTGGGGTGGGTGAGCTGATGTGAGCAGGATACAGCGCACTTCAGCGAGAACTAGGGCTTCATCTCGCTCTTCCCCGTCACTACATATGTGATAGAATGGCGAAGGAGCGGCGAAGTACTGGAAGAAGGTACATTAAAGCGATCGAAACGGCGCGTATGTGCAGTATACTAGTAGTAAGCGTAACGAGAGACGAGTTCGGTGTCAAGGTCGCTGTGGGTTTTACCCAGCCTTGGAGAGCGCTTGGAGTTGCACGTATTCGTAGTAGTCACCTCTACGGTTGATGAGCTCGTCGTGGATACCCTTCTCAGCCACGCGGCCCTCCTTAACGAAGTAGCTGCGACCAACATCAATACGTGAACGTTAGAGAGGCAAAACGAGAGAAGACGCACATGCAATCGGCGTTCTGGATAGTCGACAAACGATGCGCAATAGCGATCGTAGTGCGCCCCTTAGCAGCATGATCGAGCGCGGCCTGTACAACCTTCTCCGAGTTGGAATCGAGCGCCGACGTCGCTTCATCAAGCAACAGAACCTTCGGATTGCGCAGAAGCGCACGGGCGATCGCAATGCGCTGCTTCTGTCCTCCGGAGAGCTGACTGCCCTTGCCGCCGACCTCGGTATCGAAGCCCTTGGGCAGACCCTGGATGAACTCGAGAATGTTCGCATCGCGACAAGCGGCTTCAATTTCATCCTGCGTCACGTCGTCTTGTGGCTTAGAAGCCCCGAGAAGGATGTTGAAGCGGATGGTACCCGAGTAGAGCGTAGGCTCTTGCGAGACGAGCGCGATGTTCTGGCGGTACTTCTGTACGTTGAGCTCCTCGATCGGTTGACCATCCAGTAGAACACGCCCAGATAGTGGGTCGTAGAAGCGCTCGATCAACTGGATGGCCGTGGACTTGCCGCAGCCTGATGCGCCGACGAGCGCCACGTATGTTCCTGGGCGGATATCGAGGTCGAGTCCGCGAAGAACGCGCACACCGGGCCGCGTGGGGTACCGGAAGTGGACGTCCTCGAAGCGGATGTGGCCCTGTACAGCTTCAGGAGTTCTGCCTTCGTCGCTTTCGGCATCGACATCGGGGATGTTGTCGAAGAGATGAATGAGGTCTGTGGCGGCGCTCTTCGCCGAGGATATGTCTGGTACGAATGAGAAGATGTGGCCTGCTTGGATGGTGCCAAAGACGGTCGACTGGAGCGGAAGTCAGTTTCGTGTCGAAGCATGTGGAGGGAGGTGTGGCAAGTACTGACCATCAATGCGACGAAGAAGCTGATAAGACACCGTGAGCATGTGTGGGAAGAAAAAGATAGAAGAAGAATACGCACTCGCTAGTGTTTGCCTCTCCAAAGGAGACCAGACGAGAACCGTACCAGAACACGAGAGCGATGACGAAGAAAGACGACGCCTGGGATAGAGCATAAAGAGCGCACGACCATATGCTAGTGCGATTGCTGTACCTGAGAGGTTCGTCGAGCGACTCGGAGTATTGGCGAATACAGTCTTCCTCCCGAGTGAGCGACGCGACCGTGCGAATAGCGCCGGCGGCTTCGCACGCAAGCTGAGCGCTCTCTTCGTGGACCTTCTTGTTGCGCTGATCCTTGAGAACGACGACGCGCAAACGGATGTACCCCGTCGACATGAGGAATGGAACGCATGCCATGGCGACGAGTCCGAGCTTCCAGACGTACACGATGCCGAGGATGGTGCCGAGGACAAGGGTGGTGATAGATTGCATGATCGTGCCGAGCGTCACGCCCATGAGACCATTCACTTTCTGAGGGCCATCAGACATCTTCGAGACGAGAGCGCCGGTGCTGTTCTCATCGCGGTCGAAGTACTCGATGTCTTGACGTAGCACGGACTTGAACGCGAGAGAGCGCAGACGCTGGGTCAAAGACGCGGCGGAAGAAGCGAACAAGTAGTTCTGGCTGCACATAGCAAGGAAGGCGAGGATGGAGATGACGAAGAACCATAGAGCGTTGCGATCTCCGTCGTGGCGTCGCTCGTGGTTGTCGGTTTCGCCAAATGCAGTGATACCCTGAGAGAAGACGATGCCAAAGCTGGGGTAGACAGACCCAGTGCCTGCGAAGAGAGACACGTGAGTAATACAGCTAGAGTTTGAGATGCTGACGACGTACACATAGCGAAGAAGGCCCCCAGAAGGTAGTGCTTCCAACGATTGCCATTGATCATGCCCAGACGCTTGAGGATGTAGACCAGACCGAACTCTTTCTCTCCCTTCTGCGCGGCAGCCTGTTGTTGCTTGATGATCTCCGACGCGAGACTCTGCTTGGTGTCAGAGCGACCAAGAGGTATCTCCTCCTGCGCCTGCTTCTCAAAGTCTTCCCTTCCATCAACAGCGCCTATGACACCCGACTTGTCGTCCTCGTCCGGATCATCCGCTTCCGCCTCCTTTACCTCCCGCAGGCGCTGCGCCTGTACGAGGCGCGCATATGGTCCGTCCGCGTTCCGAAGAAGCTCGTCGTGGCGACCGGCCTCGAGTACGCTGCCACCGCCCATGACGTAGATGCAATCAGCGCCCTTGACTGTTGACAGGCGGTGGGCAATTGTGATCGTAGTACGCCCGGCGGCGGCCTTGTCGAGCGCGTGCTGAACGATGCCCTCGGACTGTGTATCGAGGGCAGACGTAGCCTCATCGAGCAATAGAATGCGCGGGTCCGAAACGATAGCGCGAGCGATGGCGATGCGTTGTTTCTGGCCACCGGATAGAAGGAACCCGCGCTCGCCGACCAACGTCTCGTAGCCAAGCGGAAGCTTAGAGATGAAGCCGTCAGCGTTCGCCTTGACCGCCGCCTCGCGTACAAGCTCCATCTTCTTCTCCGGGCCGGCGTGTTCGTAGGGGGTGTTGATCAAGCCGTGTTCGATGTTGCCGCGGATCGTGGTAGCGAAGAGTGTTGGCTCCTGCGAGACGAGACCGATCTGACCGCGCAACCAGCGCACGTTTAGCTCCTTCACATCGCGCCCATCAAGCTTCACTTCTCCGTGGATCGGGTCGTAGAAGCGCTCAACCAAGGAGATCACGGTAGACTTGCCCGAACCGGATGCGCCGACGAGCGCGGCGGTCTTGCCCGCGGCGAACTTGATGCTGAGGTCACGAACGATTGGTACGTCTGGGCGAGCAGGGTACGAAAAGCCGATGTTACGAAGCTCGATCTCGCCGATGATGCTATTGGGCTTGAGGCCTTCATCGCTTGCCGAATCGATTGAAGGGACACGGTCGATGGTAGCGTAGAGCTTGGCGGCTGCGCCACGTCCGTAGTTGATCGCTATGGAATGCATCAATACTCGAATTGAGGCTGATGACGGTTGTCGCGTACCTTGCATTTCAGGTGCCAGCATAACGAGGGAGATTGAGCCGGTGAGGATAGCCATGATCACGTTGATAACTTGACCAGCGTCGGCGTGACCTGAGTTGATCAATGTCGTCCCGAAGTCGAAAGCGAGTGCGTAGGCTGAATACATGATGAACATGAAGACGGCGAAGCTGCAGCCTTGCCAGAGCGCAGCCCTGCTATCGACGCTGAATGCCTTCCCTACAGAGACATCGTACAGACGCGAGAGGGTCTTCTGAGTCCCGAAGGCTTGGGCGGTACGGATCGTTGAGATGACCTCCTCAGCGAAGGAACCACCTTCCGCGACGAAGGTGAGCGACTGTCTATGCGGATGTCAGTGTCTTGATTGAAGATGACGCAGTCCGCAATACGCACTGCATATAGCGAGAAACCATCTTGTTCATAAGAAAGCCGGTCGTCGCAACGCAAGGCAGAACCGCAGTAAGCGCGCCAGCAAGTCGAGCGTTCCGCACATACCCAAGCACGAAACCGGTGATGAAGGAAGATATGAAGGTAGCACAGAGGGCCACTTTCTCGGAGATGCCTTGCTGGACGAGATGTGTGTCGGTCTGTATGCGCGTGGCGACCTCTCCTGCGCCAACGTGGTCGAAGTACGCGACATCCTGTCGAAGGGTGGCCCGAAGGTAACGCTCGCGAATGCGCTTTGCCGTGACCTCCGCGGTCCATCCCCATATGAGCATGTAGGCATAGGTGCAAAGGAACATCCCAAGGCCTACATTATGTCTCAGAGTCATGCCATGCGGGCTGAATGTAGGAACACACCGATGAAGAAGAGGTAGAGGGCGTCGTTCGCAGCGGTATGTCTGAAGTTGGCGGCCGTCTCCTCTAGTTGCTGTCGAAGAGTTGTGTTGGACGGGTCGTTCTGCAGACTAGCCACCTTTGCACCAAACTGAACGAATTGGTTCGTCAAGTTACCGAAGAGAAGGGACATCAACGGCTAAGGTATACGGTTTCAGAAAGAGGCATGGGAGTGTAGTGTGGTATCAGCCGCACCTGGGCTGCGCCTGCAGCTATAGCGGCAACGATACCGAAGCCGTCCAGGACAATTTCGGTCTTCGTAGAGTAACTGCGTATAGGTTCGATCATCAACGTCGTGCGCATAGGTCGCAAGGAGGACGATACATACCGAAATAATTGCGCGAAGCCAACAGGTGGCAGCTTGTCGTCTTCACTCCCCGCAGCGACCACTGCCACTTCATTCTTGCGAGCAGCCTGCTGCTGCCCGAGCCCAAAAGAGCCCTTCGACTGCACTTGTGTTGGGGTCGAGAAAGCGGTGCTGTTTACGTCGAGTGAGAGCCTCTCATGGAGAGGACCGTCGACCGACATATTGGCTATAGCCCTAGGGGATTATCAGAAAGAGAACCGAATCGCGAGGAAGCATTGACGTACGCTCAGTAGGCAAGATATATGAGAATTGTCCGTCTCTAACCGACGCCCGTCAAATCAAGATTGTGTCATCACGGTTACTGACACTTCCTCATATCGTGCTCTTCAGTCTGGACTCTCGCCTGATACCAATCAGTCGAATAGCCACCAGGTCGATCTGAAAGCATTACGCGATTTGTCAATCTAATTGGAGGTCCTTCCGTATCCAACGGTTGAAAGCCGGACACGCGGCGGTGAGCAATCATGATCGCTCGGCGTGAGCTGAGTACTTCGACACTTCGCTGCTATAATTTTGTGCAGAATACGTAGTCGTTCCTGTATCGCAGGCCTATGTGTCATACTCTTGTTCAAGAATCTGGCGAGGCCGTGGTACGTCTCGAATTTGATGGTACAACATGAACCCTCGGTCAAGCCCAACTTCGTGAACGATGGCCGGCCTTGACCAAACCTGGACCTCAAAAATGACGTGTTCAGACGGTAGAGGGTAAGCCGTGAATGGTATGCATGGCATGAGGGGAAGATGACTATGATGGTGGTGGAAGTCAGCGCGTACCGCGACGCGACGCGTTCGGCGCAACCTCTGAGCACGGCCCGCAGGAGCCGGAGTCCAAGTTGTGTGCGACATGTCGATGGCTCAACTCACTTGTACTTACCGTTCTCATGGCACTTATCACTCTCATTGGTTGATTTATAGCTAGCGGACAGTAGTAGCGCAGTTCATGGGGGGAGTACTTTATAGGTAGCAGGTTGATTCGATTCACAATTGACGTTACAAGGTCGTTAAGTACATCGAGGTCGTAAGGATCGTAAATGTGTGGATAGAGCAGTGCGCACAAGATCAGAGATACACGAAAAGAAAGTACAGGAGAATCTCCAAGTTCAAGCATATCATAGAACTAAGGATATGCCGAAGAGGAGTCCTCCAAGGAGCATTGCAAGATGGGTACGCGACAAAGACTCTCCACCAACGGCCAGCGGGGACGCTGCTGAGGACTCGCTCGGCGTCAGGGTGGGCACCGTCTCGTTGTCGGTTGTCGTCGTGTTGCTCACTGTCGTACTGACAGTGCCACAGACGGTGCGCAGGCCCTCCAGAGTGCCGTCGAGATTGTCGTCATTGAGTAGGGCGGTCTGATTCGTGCGTTCAAAGCTGGGAATACCTTAGTCAAACACGCGCACCCAGAAGGGGGGGAGACGCACCAGTCAACACACTGCGGGTAGGCAGCTTGGAAGGTGTCCGTACACGCGCACTTGATGACGTCGATGAATGCTCCTGGATTGAATAAGACCTGCATTTCATTATCGGATTAATTGAGAAAGTCTGGAAATAGGCGTTGAACCGCGCACCGTCGTGAAGTTCTGAAGGACGGGTACTGCCGCTGCGCAACTACTGATCGAGTTGTAGTTCTGCGAGCAGATACCACACGAAGGGACATCATCGGGGAAGTCTGGCGTTGTACGCTTAACGAGAACTTCCTTCGAGGAGGATGGCAAGAGAGGCGAAGCCGAGACGAGGACCAGGTTGAACAGCAGAACAATGATCGTAGTGCAAGCGTGGGCAAGCATGACTGGAGAGTACATTGATATCCTCGTCAAGGCTGAGGTCTCGGTCGTCGTCACCGCCGTCTTCGTGGGCAAAGGCAAGGAAGCAGACACGCTCAATGGCGAGTCTTCGGAAGCTCGCAAGCTGGGAAAGTACCACGCGGTCAGGTGGGTTTATTGCCAAAAAGTCCGTAGCTTCTGCGGTTGCGCAAATATTGCATGATACGATAGGAAGATAATAATAACAGTGCATGCTTGCAGAGCGAAGGACAGCCGGGCGATGAATGTTGAGAGCAAGACGCGGGCAGACGAGGTCTCTCTTGGCTGCGCGCGGACTCGCGCGCAGTTGGCGCGCAGAAACTGACGCGTGGCTTGCATTGTCCCACTATCTCTTCGGACCGGCTAGCTAGGTATATCAGACACATCGATCGATTCTACGCTGTCTCTTCGAGCTAATCCAATGCTGTACATGTGTTCGCACTATTAGACATTCTCAGATGAAGCTACGTACCAACCAGCCATATCTTGTTGTGGGCGGCGGCGTTTGGAACCTTTTGATCTAGAGAGCGGCTACGCCTCTGCGGATATGAAGTGGACGACTCGGGCCTTGCGTAGAAGACTGCCAGTCGTGTAGTACGCCGAGTACGACGTCGATATCCTCAAGGCTCAGGCCCGAGGACCCATTCGCGAGCGAAATCGTCTGCGCGCTGCTAACCACGTTCTTGATCTAACACGCCGTGAGCAAGATTTCTTCACACAGCATCAGTGCAAGCGATGCACATACCTGGCGTCCATTGATGTGATGATCCGCCAGACGGGTGAGATCCTTCTCGCTAACTTGAAGGGATACTTTGGCAAGGAATGTCTTCCAGACTGACATGCGTGCTTCGACTCCAAGTTCAGGATAATGCACTGAGAAGTGGATGCGGCCTGTAGTTTATGGTTGTCAGACTCACACTAGCGCACAAAGACGAGAGTCACGTACTTTCGAATGCACGATCGACCTGTTCGGCCATGTTCGTCGTGAGAATCAAGATTCCCTTGTAGTACTCCAGCTGGCGCAGGAAGATGGAGACGAGCGCGTTGCGGTTGATGTCCACAGCATTCCTCTGCTGCAGGAACACCTCCGCCTCGTCAAGCAGGAGGACTGCATCCCAAAGTTGCGCCAACTCGAGGACTTCAGTCAACTTGCTTTCCACGTAGTCAGGCGTCGTGCCGAGCTCGCCGGCACTGACGGCATAGAGCGGCTTATGCGTGATCTCCGCGACGGCCTCCGCTGTGAGCGTCTTGCCACAGCCAGGTGTACCAGCGAGCAACCCAATGAGCCCTCGTCCTTTGCCTTCAATGATATCGTCAAAGCTAGCTGCCTGAGATGCGTGCTGCCGGACAAGGCCGTGTATGAGCATCTTCTGCTTACTTCCGAGGACGAGTGCGCCAAAAGCAGCATCGTTCCAGCGCACGTCCTTGATACGCGACAGCGCAAAAGCGCCTGTGCAGCATATCAGCAAAGTCCTACTGGGTAGCTATCTTGCACGTTACCCCAAGACTTGCGATCAAACGCGAATCCCAACACAATGGGCGTGATGATAGCGAAATCGTCGTTTGTCAAGGTTTCCTTCTTGAGTGCCTTGTGCACTGACGGATTAAGCTCGCTGCTCGGCAAGAATCGGCGAAACGCCGAGGGACTGATCATGACACGACCAGACACCTGTCAAAATACTATCAGTACGGCTGTCAATAGCGAAAGCCGATCATGTATGTACTCACGTAGAATTGTCCTACGCGACCTCCTTGGTCGCGCAAGGCAAGCCCAGCTTCGATCTCGTGATAGCTATGTTGCGACAACTGAACATAGCTCTTTCCAATCTTCACAGCTTCGGCGTAGAGGTCATCCGCACTGGGGTGGTACTTGAGCGGATAGGTGGGAAGCTCCGCGATCGGGCGTACACCCTTGAATTCGCCAATCATCAGGAGCTCTTGCGCAAATCCAAAGAGGCTGCCATCGTTGCGTATGATATCGCAAGTCATCTGAAGATATCGCGAGCCATCCATCCCCCTCTTGTACTCAGCCTGGCGCACCAACAACAGACGGTTCTGTTCCGTGAAGTCGTGATACTCGCAGATGAGCGAGTTAGGCTTGAATATGGTCCACAAGAGGTCGAACGTGATCTCTTGTTGCGCAGTGAGCCCCGAGACGTCGTGCAAGGTCTTGGCCAGGTCTTCTTCGATCATCTGGATAGCGGCCATGATGTCGATGATCAAGGCCTCCCCCCGATCCTGTTGCTCTTTCGCCTGTTCCTTGGCCAAACGCTCGAGAAGGGCGCCGTATGAATGGTACATAACTTCGAATGAAGTCTATGATCGGTCGGAATGAGGATCGAAGGCCTCTACTGTAGCGGTTGGAGGAACGCACCTCTGGCTCGTGACGAGAGAGATCCAATCCTTGAACGCCAGCATTGATCTCGAGCAGGACTTCGCACAGTAGAGCGCTCTTGATATCGATGACAGTCTTCGTGTGATTGCCATTCTGGTCGATCAGGCGCCGGACGACAACGGCGTGTTTGCGCTCTTTGACCTTCTTCTCTTTCGGTTTGGCCGTCTTCCGGAGCCGATACGTGAAGGTGTTGCTTCGTGAAACCAGTTAGCGTCAAGCACGAGACAGACGTTGCGTAGCATGCTCACGGGTCATGACTACAGCACCAAAGAAAGTCAGTGATGCAGAGGGTGAAGTATAGAAGGGACACTCACAAGTAGTCATAATGGGCAATACGCTGTTTGACAAGGTCGCCTCTCTCCATCGACGTCCTTTCAACTTCAGTCATGCTTGAGGAGGGACGGTGAGATGGATGTTCTGTAGAGCCGGTCGAAAGCTGGAGCCGGGGTGGTTGAAGTGCTGATCAATCGATGACCAGTAGCTATAAGTACCAAGGCGCGTTGCAAGAGGAAGGCGCAGTGCAGGTCTGAATCGCGACCGCTCTCAGCGGATGCGGGCCGACCGCAAGATTCTTCTCGACTATTCAGCTTCTTGAGGCTATGGCTTTGCCAATCAGAGATTCATCAGAAGTGCACCGCACGGGTAGTTGTAGGATCGAATGAATCCTCATATGCACTGCAACTCGCACGCTCCAATGAGAAGCGGATAGCAGGCTCAGAGCAGTCAGGAAGTCTATCGATGGTAAGTACTTAAGTTAGCATCCGGAGACGAGGTTCGTTGGGTCTCAATGCGTCACCGCGGATCCATCGTCGGCTAAGGAATGGTGCGATTATCCCCGTTCATTGGAACCCCGTGCCCAATAGTAGAAGAGGGAAAGCGCTCCGCTGTCATAGTCCCGTGGTATGTAGGGCGCATTCATAACACTATCCTGAACGGTGGGCTGTGTGCATGGCGCTCCGTCGTAGTCGGGCCAAGATTTCTCATCCGAGTCATGGTGGATGAGTAAATCACGTCGTCCGGGTCCGATGAATTCGCTCATGACTATGTTCACCATAACCACTCGTAGCGTATCCCTCTGCTGGATAACCGAGAAGAGATGGTCGAGTAATATGGTCGGAGCAACATGATGGTGGTACGCGCGCAAGGTCAAAAAGGGAAATCACTCGTCGAGATGTTATCAGGTGTCAGAATAATAAACTCAGAAATCTTATCATTCTCTTGCCGCGTCACCAGGAGTTGGTCCGTAACCACCATAGTAATTTCGTGCTCATATCCCCAGAAACATCATGAGTACATGAATACCGAGCGCTCTGCGTGTCTATACGGTTCAGCCTGTTCAAGCCCACTCCGTTTTCCGTCACCTTGCCGAGAAGACAAATACAAGAACTACTATCCTAGCGTCCGGAGCCTGCGTGCCAATCCAGTGCTGTATGCTTCATTTGCGGCTGGGCAGGACATCTGATACTCTCAGCACGATGCATCGATAGCGATAGGCGCAGAAGACTGGTTGAGACCTCTTCCAATACAGTCTACAAACACTACAATCACTCACATCTTCAACCCGTAGTCGGACCGATGGCAGTGCTTTCTCGCCACAGTGTGGCGGCGCGGGCGCTGTGTATTGCCTCCTGCCTCATAGAGCGCGTCTCTTCCTAATGGAACTACTGATGAAAGAGACAGTTCATATACATTTGCTGCCATGCACGTACATCTCGCGCCCCGCCCACCCGTTGCCTCAAAGAGCGTTCGTGAGTCGCTGTATTGTCCCCCCTCCGATATGATCGAACTTGACGTGCACTCAAGCCCCGAACCCCACAATATGAACTTCCCAGATCCTGCTCCGGAAGATGTAATATTGCCAGGCGCGGCCGTCGTTCAACCACCTCAAGACCAGGAGCCGCTCAAGTTGGACGATTTCATCGCACTGTGCCGTCGCGCTGGCGTCGTCGCTCCGGACGCATCCCTTGCTCTTGACGAATGCTTCATCTTTAAACACCGGCCGGACTACCAGTCAATCATAGGGGAATGGGGTGCACTTATTGGGCACAGACCATACGACGACGTTTCTGATACTAGCGACCCAATCGCAACAGAGAGCAACGGAGTGAATCGGATCTGGTGGGAGACGCTTAGTTCGAACAATGCCTTCTCTCGGTTTCACGGCCACTACACATCCTTCAGGCTGACAGAGTCGGGCTCGGACAATGCGCTGTGCAGTAGAGGCGAACACTTCGAGGCAGTCAATACTGCGAATGGGCGGATCACAGTCTTGCGTCTCAGGCGAGTCTTCACTCATGCTCTAACTTTACTCGTCGCTTAACCGAGACCGTTCACTACAGGTCATGGGATCATCGCAAACAGACGCTCGAGTTTGTCTGCGAGCATTGGCGCTCGGAGAACTCCGATGTCGCACCCTCGCTTGAGAAGAAGCAGGTCATTCACACGAACGAGACTTCGACAAGCTGGAATCTGTACGCAAAACCAGCCACGCATGGTCAGGTCCACCTCTCTGCGCGCCCGACGCTATTCAACGATGACGGAACGCTTCTACGCATAGGCGCACAGCTCTTCTCCCTTGAAGCTGAGCGCACGTATCAACCTCTGGCTTCGGGGAAAGCGGACCTCTGTGAACATCCATCGTACTTCGAGGAGTTCGCAAGACGCGGTGCCTTTGTGGCCATTGCCAGCCGCGCACACACTGCTGCTCAGAACGTATATGACGACTTCAAGACCTTCGACGGGTTTGGCGCGACCCTTCTGCGCCTGGAGTCACTCGCGTTAGACGAATACGACGAGACTGACGATGAGTCTGAAAGTGAGAGCGACCCGGATGAGTTCTCTGTTACATCGTCCGAGTCTGATGGTCGGGAATCGTGGAGCGAGGGTTCGACTGATGTCGATGATATGCTGGAATCCGACTTCGACTCCGACTCAGCGTCTGTGGATTCCTCAAGCTCGTCATCTGCGGACGCCCAGTCCGTCAAGACACCAGTCGATGAGCCGCAGATCGACGCTCCCTCCAGGCCCGACACTCCCGAGGTGGACGAAACGGGCATCGAGCCTGACGCGAAGTCCATACCGGACGACGAATCGCGACCTCCTTCTGTAATATTGGCTCCACCAGACCATGGCTTGGGGCGGCGTGGCATCTACCGGAGTAGGCGCCCTCCTCGCGCCTACGTCATCGAGCGAGGCAGCGCCAGAGAACGCGAGCCTGAAGTGCTCCTTACCGTCTTCGGGATCCACAACGCAGGACCCCCCACAAAGCTCTTTCAGTATAAGCATCCGTTATCCCACATGATCTATGAGTCTCCTCCAGCACTTCATCCGCACAAAACACTTGCCGTATGGCCACTCGGTTCAGGCAGCATCCTCTTTGCAGACTTTGTAGAGAAGACATATCATGTTCAGCAGTTACGTCCATCCACCTCATTCTGTAGGTCTTCCGCTCGTTCCTTCATGAGTGACGAAGGTGCTGACCGGCTGTGGTTAGCGCGAAATGTGTCCATGAAGGTACACTTTTCTCCCTGTGGCCAATATCTCCATGTCGCTGCTCTCGAAGCGAGGCCTGAATCCGGCGAAGAGCCAAATCCGAGGCACCGCTCACGGAGTTCCTCGATTGGACTTCGCATCTACCTTTTGCTGTCAACCTTCCGCCTCTCCTCTCGAAAGACCGCGCGCAGTCCACCCCCACTCGTACATCGAGCCATAGCCAACCTCGGGAAACACATCAAGCTCAACGTCCTGCGACTTCCATTCACGTTCGTTTGGACCGAGACCGACTTGTTCGTCACACAGAGAGGGACAACACTATCTGTTCAACGCCTCGCGCTCTTCGGCGCCTCGCAGTCAACGACGCCCAAGTCGCCTGAAGCGCATGTCCTTGTGCCAAAGAACACGATAATCCTTCCTGTATCTGCCTCAACCCGCGACGTACACTTCATGCCGTCGGACGGCGACAATTGCACCGTCATTATTGGCAGTGACCCGCGCATGGATGCTTCCTCTCTAGCCATTGCGCCTGGAACGCGTGGGATGCTGTCTCCGCCCATCGGCGCCTATCTGCACGCAAAGGACTTGGGCGGTTGGATAGGGTCTGAAGCAGTTCCTATTCCGAATGGGCAAGGTGTCGGGAAGCTTGCCGAGCGTAGGGAGTTCTATTTCATCGAGGGTTGCAATAGTAAGTGCTGTTGCAACATTTCGAACTCCACAAGTCGTCTTGACACTTTTCATCAGTTGAACCATGGATCGAGGCGAGATAGCCTTTGGAAACGTTGTCAAAAGGACAAACGACGTAAAGACCGGTGTGGAAAGAGGCAGGTTGGGCAGTGCGAGTGGTCGAGGAAAGCGTGTGAATGATGTATCAATAGTCCGGCATATGCCGATGTCATAGATGCGCCGTCTTGTGCGCGCGGTCGTCTCTTGCTTACGCCCGTCATGTTCGATAATAAATCGCAGTCCGTGCAGCATTGTACCCTACGTCTGGGCGCGCTTCGACCACAGTGCGACTTGTGGGCTTGGTAGATGTTTACTCGCCATCATGGTGAATGCTTGAGTGCGTTTGCATTGTGATGGGTCGTCATGCATCATGAACGCCGCGAAAGGTTGGCTTGCGATCTAACGTCCAGACTGTCCGGAGCGCAGGAATCCAAACCAAGCCTATAAAGGTGATGTCGCTGATCCTCAACTTGCTCCCCCACATCTCTAGCAGCGTCCGCCGCTGCGCACACGCTACTATAGACCGATTCGCCCACACTCCTATACACCGCCATGTCGCCGCTCTTTCGCATTTTGCACTCGACGGCCCGCGCAGTCGCGAACCTCGTCTGCGCGCCGCCTGCTCTTACCGATGGCACCGCCGCATCCGCCCACCACGAGTACCCGCTCACGTCTACTGCAACTCTGTACCTTCGCCTGGTCGCAGCAAATGGCGGACCTCCGTCCTTACCACTTCCGGCAGACTTTTGTACAAACTGTTTAGCTCAGGCCTTGGACAATCCGCTTATGCTGCAACGTACGACACAATCCCCGCCACAACCCAAGAGTCCTCCGAAACTTCGGCAAGGCGGCCCTCATTCACCCGCGGACTGCATCTTCTCGGATTCGTCTGAGCTACCGCATGCACCTTCACCGATGAGGACCCCTCGCCGCAAGCATCGTCGCGACCGCCGCCCGCGTCTTCCACTTGTGTATCCTCCTGCACCGCGTTTGGACTGGTCCCCGCCAACCATCTCATCAACCCCCGCAGGGCCAGTAGAAAACGCCTCTCCTGCGAGTGAAATGCATGGACTTGGGATCGGGCTCGGACTTCGGCTATCGGGGCTAGGGATGGGTATACTCCCTCGCTGCGAGGACGAGGACTGTGCAGGCGCACCATCTGGGGAGTTCGTCCGCGATCTCGTCGACGCGCTCACGCGCGCAGAGGACTCATCACTGCCGGAGTTAACGCCGGACTCGGCGCTAAGCTCGGCGCCTAGCACAGTGTCGCCACCGTCCCTCACCTCCCTCGCCGCTGTTGCCATCGCGCGTACATCCCCTGCCGTTCACACTATCTACGATGACGACTCCGATGACGACGATCACTTCTTCTCGCGACCGCGTCCACGCCCGCCGGTGCGCAAGGCGAAGGCGCGACGCGTACCGCTCGTTTCAAGCCCTGAACCGTACTCGACGACGGATGGGTATTCGTCCAGTGTTCCATCCGCTGAGGCTCAGCCGATGCAGAAGCCTCGCGCGTCGCTGTCAATCACACGCCCACCACCGATACGCGCTCGCACTCCGCACCTAAGCACCACATCTTTCGATCAGGATACAGCCGCCAGCGCGGCGAGGCGGGTAATGCGCATTTCGAGCGTAGGATCACTGTCGCTCTCTGGATCGGAGAGGAGGCCATGGAAGTGATACGAAGTCTTTCAAGAGGAATTGTGTAGTGTGTACGATACGTATGGATCGAGTACAGATAGCGAATTGAAGCATAATGGCTTGCGCGCGATCACCTGAGTTTGATCTGGGTAGTCTGCACATCCTATTAGCGGTATTGCAATAAAGTCTCCCGCGTGCCAGACGTCGTACGGGCCAGCTATGGGCCAACTATCTCAAGCGTGCATCATGAGATCTTGAGACGCGGACGCCGCGATAACAGTCGGCGTATGTCCGAGCTCGTTCTCAACGGTGGCCCGATAGCTGTACCAGCCCGCTCCTCCGATAAGATACACACGCGAAGCTCGACTATGGCATGATAAGAGGCGGGGACTGTCAGCTCTATGATGCACTCCCTTCCCACTTGCCCTGTCATATCATCATGGTGGTCGAAGTTCTGCCACCCACGCTTCCCTGGCAGGATCTCGTCGCAGACAAGCGCGCTCGACAGGCAGCGGCAATCCCTAAGGATTGGATCATCACTCCAACAGCAGGGGATGTCCGCGATGTGACTAGCGTTCCCGCCACGTGTGGTTTGCTCACGGACAAGGAACTGGCAATCACAGAGAATACCGACATCGAGTCGCTGCTGGCTCAACTCGCAAGCGGCGAGCTGAGCAGCGTCGAGGTTGTGACCGCATATTACAAGCGCGCGATTGTGGCGCAGCAGGTGGTGCGGGTGTCTTTGTGTGAACGGTTGCTTCAGCGCTTATTGATGTTGGCAAGGTGAACTGCCTAACGGAGATCTTCGTCGATCGCGCGCTGGAGCGTGCAGCGTGGCTTGACGAGCAGCTCAAAGTGAACGGGAAGCCGGTAGGACCGTTGCACGGTCTCCCCATCTCTCTCAAAGACCAGGTAGCTATCAAGGGTCTAGAGACTACCATCGGTGCGCGCTTCTGTCCTATACCCTCGACTGGAACACAAACACGTCTGTACAGGATACGTATCGTGGATTGGGAAGTACTCTGAACGCGATGCAACTCTGACCGAGATCCTGTATGATCTGGGTGCCAATCCATTCGTACGCACAAACCTGCCGCAGACAATCATGGTCAGTACACATAGCATCTGCAGCGACACGCGCAGACTTACATGAGTGTACATAGTGGCCGGAAACCTATAACCTCGTCTTCGGGCGCACGTTGAATCCTCATAACCGGCTATTGACGTCGGGCGGTTCAAGTGGCGGCGAAGGCGCCCTACTAGGCATGCGCGGCAGCCCACTCGGTGTCGGTACGGACCTGGGTGGGTCTGTGCGTATCCCGGCCGCCTTCTGCGGACTGTACGGCCTCCGACCATCTGGTAATCGCTTGCCATACGAAGGCTCGATCAACACTTGCGAAGGTCAAGATAGTATGCCGTCTGTGATAGGCCCTCTTGCACCGAGTATTGCCGTTATCAAGGTCTTCATGAAGGCTATCATCAGCGCAGAGCCATGGTTGAAGGATCCCCTCGCCATCCGCAAGCCGTGGGATGAAGAGGAGTACCAATTGAAGAGCCATGGGCGCGGAGGGAAGATGGTATTCGGTATGATCTGGGACAATGGTATCGTCGTGCCGCATCCACCTGTACGGCGGGCCATGATGATGGCGAAGGAAGTGCTGGAAGCGGCAGGGCACGAAGGTGTGTTTGAATGAGAAGTCCAGTCGGTTTGAACTCATGCGTGTCCAAAGTCGTCGATTGGGTTGCCTACAAGCACACCGAGTTCAATGAGATCATGGTTAGCTATCACGAACTCACTGCAACAAAGAAAGTACTCACGAATAATAGACTGCGGTCACCACCGCCGCAGGCCAAGAAGACTTCAAGCCTGTCATCACACTCACCGGCGAACCTCTCATCGACAGCATGAGCATCGAAGGAATTGCCAACCCATACGCGCTCGTCACCCGGACAGGAGTCCTGACGGCTTACGAATTGTGGCAGGTACATAGACGCCGGCAGATACTTCGCAAGGAGTATCTGGATCGATGGCAAGCGACGGCCAAGACGACCAGCACGGGTCGACCAATTGACGCGCTTATTTCGCCTGTTGCGCCGTGGGCCGCGCCGCCTCACGGGAGGAATACGTAGGTGCTCCTCGGGATCATCTTGGGCGCCTAATGCTCATATATTTGGTCAGCAACGCAAGCTATACGCGTGTATTCAACGCGCTGGACTATGTCTCGTGCGTATTCCCGGTGACAAAGGTAGACCCAGAACTCGACGCAAAGCTACCGCCGCACGAGTTCCTCTCCGAGCAAGACGAGAGCGCCTACAACCTCTGTACGTGGCATAGCATCTACTGCTCCATATAGTACACATGCTGACAGCGACCATAGATGATCCCAATACCTTTGAGAATGCGCCGGTATGCTTGCAGTTGGTCGGGCGCACGCTCGAGGAAGAGGCGGTAATCCGGATGACGGAGATCGTGGATGGACTGCTCAAGCAGAAGCCGGAGTAGTGATAATGTTCAAGCAGAGTGTATGTAGTTATTCGGATGTCATGCTGTAGAATATAATCCAAAGGCGGGTCACTCATTTGCATCGTCAAAGGACATGGATGTTGGGGACGAAACCGACGTCGCGCGGATAAATGCGCGGGGATACCCTGTTGATCCGTTGATCCGTTTCCCGGAGCCTTACTGGGCTTTGGATAGCTTACCGTCCTTGGTTACTGAGTGCTCCGTACATAGCGTAGTGAAGGATACAAAGACTCGCGGAGGCCGCGTTCTGTTGGAGCCACGCAGTTGTGCACGCGCTTCAAGTGAGAGCAAATATCGTGTGCGCATCGTACAGTATAATACGTCAGACATTACAGGGGAGAGACACATTATTACATTCATCGCAGATACAATCATAATAAGTGTCACGCAAGGCAAAGAAGGTGAACGTCGGAATCTCAAGGTCGTTTACTAGTCTTGACCAAGGTCGGGTAACGTCAAGTTCGAGAGGTCGGGCGGCGTATCGCTCGTGGCTTCGGTCGGTACGAGGGACTCGATGCCCGTCACAAGGTTGTTGATGACGGAGTACAGGTTCCATGCGGGGCATAGCAGTTTCCAGTCGACTAGATGAGTAAGTTCAGATGATCAGTTCAGAAAGTTCGTAAGTAGCGAGCGGGCAAACGTACGAGGCGGGTCGTCTACATTGGGGATATCGGGCTGGTCCTCGACGAAGACGGCAGCTGCAGATACACATGAGCTTCCGTATTCACGAGTCGTAAGGGCGAGAGCATACCGAATCCAGCATTCAGATGCCAGTCAATGTGGCAGTGGAAGAACCACGGGCCTGAGTATCATCACATATGAGAACTACGCCACTCAAGTTCAGACAGATGAGAGAGAGGCGCACCGGGATTGTTCGTCTCAAAGCGAATGATAACAGTGTTGATAGGATCAGTCGAGTTCCCGATGGCTACGACATCACGGATGGGCGGGTTCACGTAGTTCGTCGTGTTATCCCCAGCCGACTTGATGACGGAGAAGGTGTGTCCGTGCAAGTGCACCGGATGGCTAGTGGGGCACGTTCAGTAGGAACTTGGAAAGAGATGAGCGCTGATGGGCTCACGGTCCAGCTTGAGCGCCCGGGATGACGAGCTCGATGACCTGGTTCCTGCTAATATTATAGATCGAGCCATGCGGCATAAGATTCGCCGGAGGCCTCCCGCTCAAAACCTGCAGCAGAATCGGAACCTGGTCCGGTCTGCCAACATCGCACTTCAGCATCAAACCCAACCCCAAAACAGCAACAAGCAAGACGTACACAGGAAGGAACGAAGCATTATTGATCGCGAAGATCCCATCCGCGCCGAGCGTCACATTGAGCAGTATACTCTGGTCCGCACCACCCGGTCCAGGCCGGCCCGGCGCCGACGCGTTAGAAAGCGGGTGCAGGTCTTGCTCGTTGAGAAGGGTCTTCACTGTGCTGGTGGTGTTGGGCTCGACGGCCGGTGCGCCGGCATAGCGCAGGATGGCACTGTTGCGGCCGTCGTCGGTGCTTCGGTCGATGCTGGACTGAGGGTCGGGGATAGAGCGGATCCAGTAGTTCGAGACGGGTTGGTTTGCGGCCATCTGATGATGAGATAGTGAGATGACGAAGGGGTGAGCGAAAGGGAAAGGGGGGGGGGACGTACAACCAGGGAGTAGCGTTGACCGGCGAAGATCTGAAGGGAGTCGATGGCGAGTGGTTGGTGGCTTGTGCCGTCAACTTCGATGACATCGAAGGTGTGCCCGTCGATGCTGAAGAACCAGCTCGCATCCTAGAGAAGACTATGAGCATCACGAACACTCAAGCATGCGCAGCCCATGCGTACGCAGGAGATCGACACTATAGAGCATGATAAGCGTCGTGTAAGCAATACGTGAAGGGAATGTGACCGACCTAAGCGGAAACGGTAGCGCTTGCCAGCTACAACGTTCACAATTGCGAGCGGGGTATTGGTTCCGACGTCAATGTTGCGCCCCTTTCCGTTGATCAAGGTAGTGTTCGGTTGCCTGTGGCACCATCGCGTCAACTTCATCTAACCCTTTCAGAGCAAGGGCGTTAACTTACGGCTTGCCCGCAGGAGCGTCGGTTGAGAGGTAGTGGTACCTGCGCATGATGAATGAGTATGATCAATGGTACTTGTGATGGGCTTCCACGTACCAGTCAGCGAGCGTGATGACCGTGTCATCGTTGTCGACGTCGTACAGCGACTTCTGCGGATCATTCGGGTCTATAGATCCGGATCAGTGATGCCCGTGGACTCCGAAGTCGATTGAGGCGCACCATATACGACCAAGGGCCCACGCAGACCATCGCAGTACTGGTTCTTGTAGTGACTACCAACCATAAGTACACATTTATGACCACAGACGTCGTTACACGAACCTGTGGTACCAGTACTATATACCACCAATCAGCCTTATGTTATATGAGGTAGACAAAGACTAGGCTCACCGTGCCGGCTTGATCAGGTACTTGGAACTTGTAGTCGAAGTTCTCGAGCGGTACTACCCTCCGATCAGCCCAAGCACCAGACGCAAAAGCTGCATGGATACATACCTATAGGGCACTGCGTAACAAAGGATGGCCCATCCGCATGAGGTGAACCATGTTGGAAAAGTCCGTGCCAATGCTATATCGAGTTGCGCTCAGTACACGCGTCAAACCTGAATACGATGTTAGATGAACGTACGATGGACGTGACGGTATCAAGCTGGTTGTCCGTAAGAGCGTCGAAGACGTTCAAGTTGAACGTGTCGCCTTTCTGTCCCTTGATGAGCGGAGCGGGGAACTGGCCGTTGACGACGACGGTGCTGCAGGTATGCTCATGAGCGTCGGGTGTGGAAGGGAGTAGGATGATGCACTCACTCTCGCATGTACCCATCTGGCGCAAGTTGTGCATTCGACACGGTGAGCTGAGCAGAAGGGCCGATGGCCGCCTCTGTCGCGACGGCGAGGGAGAGGGCGGAGAGTAGCGTTCTTGATATCATGGTCGGTCGATTCGGATGCCTCAGGAGAAAAGGGAGTTGGCCGAATTAGTGGACCTTGAGGTATGCCAGCCCTCGGTACTGAGGCATTTATACCCCGTACTCTTTCCTATAGAGTCATCGGTACCCTGAGCTGGAATGCTGGATGCGCGAGCCGGTGAAACGAGTGTGCGAGTCGTGTCTGCACTGCAGTTGCGGGAGCCAAGAGGACGAGTAGGGATGTGTTTCATTTGTCGCAGAGCGGCGAGGTGAGTTGTACTGGTGCTGGAGCAAACTCGGCGGGTTCATCTCTGCAAGTCGTCACTGCGTTGCACGTTGAGTAGAGGGACTGGAGGTAGGTTTCGTGGACGAACTCACCGTACGCGGTCAGAGTTCACCGGTACGTCCAAGATTGGTCAAGGAGCTTCAGGCCGATAGTAACTTCGTGATGGTTGACGTTCTGCATTCTTTCTCTCTTGAAACGCTCTTGCGCAGGTACAGGAGACCATATTGCGCGGCGCCATCCAGTACCCTCTCCAGCAATGAGGGCGATTGTGGTTAGGCATAGTCAGAAGGCGTTGTAGAGTATGGCGGATAAGCACGTACAGCCTGAAAAGGGTCTGATCCGCTCCACGAACGGCCAAGCCCTCCGAGGTAGCCGTAATTGCCTCAGCGCATCACCCCGTACGGTTTGATGGACACGAAGACCGGAAAGGGCGGCTCTTAGTGAGGTAGGCATCCGTATCAGCATCCCGAATGGAGCTGTTGGTGAGCTCTACGCTGAAGACCTGTACAGCTCTCGACGTGCTCGGCGCCTATCAAGGGTACCCAGCAACGTCGCCTCGTCAGACGGAATGATATTCATTGGCCAAGCGGGTAGAGAGCGGGCCGGGTGTACGTCGCACTGCAGTCTCCACAACTGTAAGCGCCATACGGTACGGTAAGATGATGCCGGTGTAGAGGAGGTGGGGATTTAGTGCGCCACCAGGTACGATTGCATGACTAGATCCTCGACACGTTTGAGCTGAGCGCTCGTGAGCTGTGAGGCAATAAGGCTCGTCGGACCGGTGCTGGCGCTGGACTCTTGTGGTATGGCATACGCCACCGTATAACGTAGGAAGGTACCTCATCAAGTGTACAACTCAGGAGTATGGTATTGAAGTCGTAGCAGAAACCATCATGGTGGTCGCGGACAGGCGCGATTCGGTGCAGAGGCGCCGGCGGTTCAGGTTGCCGCGCCGCGGATCAATACTTGCGCGTGACGTCACGCGCCAATCCGCTCGTTCATTGCCCGATTACCGTCTAGCGCATGTACCGTACCGAGTTACTACACCTCTGCCAGTGACTACCTCCTGCACATTGCACCGAGTTTATGTCGTACGCGCCTCAGCGCGGATAAGATCGACGAACCCCGCTCAAAAATGTGGTTCCGCGGCCACGTGAGAAAGTCAACCACCTCGACACGCCACGAGGCAAGTCGCGCGAGCCTCAAGTACGCGCGCGCGGCATTCGGTCTTAACCAGCACCTCCACTCGGGTTAACACCGCTACGATGCCTGTGCTTGTCCCGTCATTCCTCCCGCCACCGCCGGCTCTGCCATCGGCCACATCGGCCATCAGCGCAACCCAGAACCCACCGACGACATCGGCGCCGAGTTTATCTGCGTCTAACTCGCCCGCGCCCGCGTCTATGTCTAGTCAACCACAGCCCTCATCTCAGTCTACTGTCCTCTCTACATCTGAGACTAAAGCTGAAGAAGAACTTAATGTACCTGTTGTAACGCTCTCGCAACCAGCCCTCGAGCCCGAGCTAGTAGCCGCGCTCGCGAGCAGTATGCTCGGACATGTTTTATTTCTCAAGGGACAGATCCCGTTGTACGTCCCATTCATAGCTTGCTGCATCTTACGCGCCTGATACTGACATATCTATTGCATATGTCACAGACCGGCAGCCCAACTCGCACGCCTCCCACAGCCGCTCAACGCCACCAAAGCGAAGAAACGGACCGACATGCTCAATGCCCTGGATACCCTCAATTCGCATTTGAGGACTACGTTCCAGGCGCTAGCTGTGGCACTTGCACAACGTGGCGCGGGCAATGGTGACGGTGGCGACGTTCAACACAAAGACAGGGAGAATAGTGTGGTTAGGGAAGTTGGCGTGGCCGGGCGAGGGAAGGAGAATGTTGGACTCGAAATGGGTGCGAAGGAGGGTGGCGCTGTGATAGTTGATAAGGGAATGGCTCAGGAGAAGGCTGGGGAAGAATGCGCAGATGGTGAAGCGCTGGAGGACGCGCAACTGGTGTTCGCCGTCGGACCGACGCCCGGCGCGCCTAAAGCCCGCGTTGTATTCGCGATACGTGGACTTGCTCTTGATGCACACATGGATAAAGACGAAATTGAGGAGTGCGTGGATAGAAGCGATGAAGAGAGTGAAGACGACGACGGCGACGAAGACAGCGACGAAGAAGATGGGGACGAGGATGGGGACGAGGGAGACGCCTCGGAAGATGATCTCGACCAGCCAACTTCACGTGCACCCTCCCCGCCCTCCTCTCAACCGCTCATCGACACCCCACCGGCCCCTCCGCCTCCAAAAGCATCGTTTACGCCCTTCACCATACCCACCGACACCGTCTCGCCCTCCGCCCGGCTGCCACTATCCAACAAACCCCTACCTATGTCAACCCGCCCACCCTTAAGCACAACCAACAGCGCTGGCTCTCTCTCAGCATTCAGCTCCAGCGCTCCACCCCGACTCAACCGCAAACCCCTCGCGCAGATTTCACAACGTATCGGCCAACCGCGGAATGCGATGAAGCATGCGGAGAGTCAGATTGCGATGCGCGCTGCTGAACGTGCGCTTGGGAAGACGTTGGCTGAAGATGGACGGCTGGCCGCTGGTGGTGAAATAGGTTCGTACTATGACTGTTCCTCTATACCTTTGACTTATACTGACTGAATGCGATATTTAGCGCCGACACATACACACATCCTCATTCGTGCTCCGCGCCGCTTCTCGCATCCCGCCTGGCGCCCGCGCGCACCCCTGGGCTCAGCACTAGACGCGTGTGTAGCGGAGGCGTTGAGCCCTGCGCATACCGCTTCGAAAGGGAAGAAGAAGACGAAGGCCGAGGGCGTGCTCATTCAATGCATGGGATCATCTGAAGCCGAAGATGTATCGAGAGTTAAAAAAGCGCAGAACGAAGACGACGAGATGATCTGGTGGTTATGGGATGGGAAGCTGAGGGGATTTGCGGATTGGTGAAGACTGGAACTTGTTGTCGTGTATCACTTCTGTCACGGACCCGGGCTGTACTACCACACTCTACGCATACGCATCTGGAATCACATTGACTGTACTACCATCATCATATTCTTTGATCAAAAGCCGGCGTAAGAGGAGAGAATGTTCACGGTAGTCAACGCGGTCACACCACTTTAGCCGCCGACCGAGTTCCGAGGCGGTTCCGCGCGCCACCAATTCACGCGCGAGTCATGTCGTGGCGTATGTATAGCTCTCACTTTGACCACGATCTGCGTTTGCCACTTTACTCTTCCCTTCATCTACACTCCTGAATACCTTGACTGTCATTCGTACAATGAAAGACGCATCAACGCTGAACCTCGCGCGCTTCCGCTTCTCACCTACGAGTGTATCCACCACTCCCCGCACGAAGAGCTCTTCGCCGGCGCCAACGCTAGAATACGCCACGCGGGACTTGTCACTCGAATACCTCTCGTCGCCCTACCCCCTCACATCATCCGAACGCGCCTTATATCGAACGGCCTCAGGCGCGAAAGTTCCGCAACATCATTGGGAGGTATATGATGCTTGTCTGAAGGTTCCTGCGGGGAGAGTTACGACGTGAGTTTACTTGCACATCTCCACCCGATAGGGTGAATGCACTGCTATAATATGGCCTTACTGATTTGAACGGTGTAGATATGGCGTGCTGTGCAAACATATCGGCTCAGGAAGTGCAAGAAGCGTCGGACGCGCGCTAGCCACGAACCCTTTCGCACCGCGCATACCCTGCCACCGCGTCCTCCCCGCAACACTCTTCGCCGGCGGCTTTCGTGGGAACGCACCCGTCCATCCCTCTCAAAAGCTCAACAGCAAGAAATCAGCCAGGGAAGACGGAGAAGGAGAGGACAACGACGTCCAAGTTGAGGAGATCAAGTGGAACTGGCACGATAGCGTCAAGGTTGAAGGAGCGGAGGCGGTGAGGAGGGAGAAGGTGCGGATGTTGGCGCTTGAGGGTGTTAGGTTTGGTGGGGATGGGAAGTTGGTGGGTGGGGTAGGGGCTGTGTGGAAGTTTGAGGATGATGAGGAGAGCGAGTGTGACGGCGAGGAGTAGTAGTAGTAGGTTCGGCGCACTGTATCTCAGATCAGATTGGAAGACTAGCACTCTAGCTTGATACTTTGATGACTTTACTCCCTGTGGTACTTTACATGACTGCAATCCAGTATGCTTCATTCTCGATATCGTGCAAGCCCGGGCGCCTGCGGCTGGCTTCGGCGCGTCAATAAACGAACTTAGGACGCGTGACGTCACGCGCGGACTTCAACTGATAAACGCGGTTTTATGGCGGGCGCGTCTGTCTTCGACTGCCACGACGCGTCGACAGTGCACATTACGGTCAATGTCATCTGCTTATATCCTGTGGCTCTTTGCCGAGTGCAGTCCTCTATCCGAGTAGATGGTTTGTGTGGTACCATCTCGTGCAGTTCTTCGCGGTTTCGGTCCGTAGGCGTCGTGGGCTACTACTTATCTATAGCTCTCTTGGTCTATAGTGCGCCCATGGATGCGTATCAAGTGCTACCTGTCGTCTATGTGGTACGTCTCACGTAATAAGGATGTTTTGGACTACCAACATCGCCTATGAAACTGTATAGTTGCAGCCAACCCTTCCCAGGCCAAACTGGAAGTCGGTCTGAGATAGTATATAAATCCTCTGCGACTCGGCCCGTCACTCTCCATTCACTTTCATCTGAACTTGAATCTGCTTCAGTGCCCTGCACCGCGAGCTCTAACCCAAACCCAGCCCACAACATCTAAACAATGTTCAACGCGGCCACCACCCCGAACCCCAAGGCCAAGAGCTCTCGCCGGCTCTTCTCCCGCCTATTCGCCCGCGGCACAAGTGAGGTCCCCGCCCTCGCCGGTGGGGTCAGTGTCGAGGTTACGCAGTCCGCTGCCGACGCTGACGCCGAATTCTGCGCCCTCTACATCGCCGCGGGTATCCGTCCACCAACGCCTCTCCTCAAGAGCTGCGGCGCGCGCTTCGAAGGTCCATCACCGAAGTTCGCCCGCGAGGTCCCGGCACCTTACTCGAAGCTCAACAGGAACAAAGCTACGTATAACGCTCCGAAAGGAGTCGGTCTTGGCTTGAGGAACGTTAAGGTCTGCCCTGTGCAGCCTATCGGATGGAAAGTCTGGCCGGAAGAGTCCGACTCGCTTTCGCGCTCGACCTCCGCATCCTCCGATGAATCGGATGATGAGCGCCTGCTTGGCTCGGACGATGTCTTTGCTCCTCGTGAGGGCGACAGCTACTGTGATCTTGAGGAGGAGGAGTGGAGCCTCGATAACGTCTCTCCCGAGAACATCGAGAACGCGATTTGGGCGTGCAAGATGGCTATGCGCAAGCGTGTCATTGCCGGCATGCGGGCGCGCGCGACGGGCTGGAACTGAAGTACTGGGCTCGTATTGGCGCTGGAGGTTCTTCCAACGGCGCTCGTCAGTCCAGGAAAAGGTTTCGGTCTGAAGTTAGCGACCGTTTGCTCCTATCGTTGCTCATTGACCCGAACGGACCGGGGCTGAGTCCGCAATGGACTTCGCTCTAAGCACTAGCTGTCGGCCCCGCTGCAGGGGGTACGAGCTAGCGGCACATCCACGCTGGGGATCTGGCCTCGAGGACGCTCGCTTGCGGCTTTTATGACGCCAATGCTCCTCGTTTGCTTGATCCTCGCTGTGTGATACGCCGACGAACAGGATGACGCGGAGACGCACCGCCGACTGTCTTCGTTGTGATCTCTATGGTCCCCGTAGTACGCTCGATCTCTAGTGCAGGGTAGCTCCCCGCCATACAGAGGTTGGGTGCACACGCGGTTGCTTCGGGTCAACGCTCATAGCTCCTGCTTACTATATGGTTTAGAGGGTGGAATGGCCCGACGGGATCTGAGCTCAGTCTTATGACTCTGCTCTAAGCACCGGTTGTCGGCCCTTGCGGTACGAACCGGCGACGCATGCTATCGCGCTTCCTTCGGGAAGGGTGCTCTGGCTTGCGTCGACGACAGAGTGATACGGGGCCGCCCGTTGACTGTCGGTGTGATTGTGGTCCGCTCTGATTATGGCGCTGCAGCGAGGCTGGCCACCAGACCTGTGGTGCTGAATCAAAGTTATGTCGGGTTTGGGTGGCTGCGTTGATATTGATGTCGAGGTTGGAATTGGAAGTTGATGATGAGGAAGGTGATCTGCCGTTCATTATTCTTTTTCATCTTTTCTCTTCCTCGCCGTGATGAACTGGAACATGCTACGCTGATCAGTTCCAAATCAACAAGGCATACCATCCAGTGCATTGGCAAGATCATGCGAGGAAGATATGGGCGCATCATGCGCCCGAAAAGGTCCTGTTGCATCCTGTTTTCCTCGCGCATTACAGCTATGCTCAGAACATTTCAGACACCTTCGATACGTTGCATAGCAACGTATGCTCTCAGAGCACACCCATCGCCAATTCTGGCATCCTTGGATCACCGCGTCTTCCCCTCCGCGTATCTGCCCCCACCTGCAGATGATCGACCAGGTCCTCAAGATCCGACCTCGTGCCGCATCGACTGCCCTGGACGCTATCACCTCCAGGCATCCTCGGGCCATGCGACCACCTTCGCTTCCACTGGCCGCCCGAAGCACGCGCAGGTGTCGATTCAGCGTCCGCGTTCGGACATCGGCGGCGAAGAGCGAGTCTAGCCACCTCTCTCGAAGCTTCTGTGTTTGGATTTCGGTGCTGGGTTAGCGCCGGCCAATGCAGGGCTGGCCAACGGGACCTCTGGATTGGAGCCTGGAGCCTCGCTCGGCTCGTCTACTGTCCCTTCTCGTTCCTATTCTCGTCTGCGCACCATCTCGATCTGTGATGTATACTCTTACAATTCCCTCCCAGTGCTCTTCCCTCCTTTCTAGTATGGTCTCGATCTCAGTGACGCCGGCGAGTGGGACGCTGCGAGTTAGCGTTGCCGGGGTCGGGGTCCATCTCGCCTCATACTTAGCATCATTGTATCCTCGGTCTCGACATTGGTGACGCGGATTGGCGGGACGCTGCTGGTTCGCGAAGTCGGTGTTGGGATCGCATCGCTTCTGGACTTGAGATCGTCTTGTTGCTTCCTTTCTTGTAGCCTTGTGCTTTCCGCTCTGCATGCATTTCAGCGTCATGTCTTGGACTGACAAATTTGCCACGTGGGGGTCATCATACTTGAACGAATAGAAAGAGCCATTACATTTGAGACAATGTCACGGGTAAACGAACTGGTATTAGTCAAGAAACGGTAGACAGGAGCAGTCATGAGCAATAGAAAAGTAATCGTCCAAGATCAAATGTGAGACTCAATTCGGCCACAATATATCTGAAGTTCCACCAACAGCTTTCAAGTGCGCACCCTAATATCTTCCGCCTCGTCTACCGCCACCCGGACCTTGGTAGGGTCCATAGTCCGGAGGCGGCCGCCCACCACCCGACTGACCACGTGGAGGAGGCGGAGGCGAGCGAATGCGGGGTGGACCAGTCGCGCTTGGGATGACGGCGTTGCGGAATACTTGCATCAAGTCATCCGTGCGGAAGACCGGGCCTAGATACAACAGTCAGTTGCAGGCTTGACGTAGTAACTAGCAGGTAACGTACCATCAAACGAAGATGCAGGCGGCAGTGCGCCCACGAACCAACTGAGCACGTTTGGGACTTGCACACGATCCTCGGGATTCTGCACCGGCGCAGGCGGAGGTGCTCCCCACTTGTTGCCACGATTAGGACCAGGACCGCCGTCGCGGTCGTTCCATCCAGCAGCAGATCCAGCAACAGCAGCATTACTTCCATGAGGCGAGTCGTAGCGTCGGCGCCCATCACGACTGGCGGGCGAAGCGCCACGTCCGCGTTTGTAGCCAGGTTCATCGCGATCGCGGCGTTTATAGCCGTTGTCGCGCTCAGGAGACGCGCCGCGTTTCAAGGATTGATTCGTCTCTTGACGCCCAATCTCGCGATTCTGTGAATGGCCCTGCGATTGGGATTGGGACTGCGAATGATTTTGGTTTTGGTTCTGATTCTGCGGCTGGGTTTGTTGGCGTGCGTAGGCGAAGCCGAGGTCGCGGGCGGCGATGGCGTCGCTTCCGTCGTAGATGTGGCGTTGTGCGAAGCGCTTGATCGGGTAATCTAATAGGTGCATGAGTTGAGAGTACGACTCGCATAGAGATGAACGAACGTACCCTTCGGGTACACCTCGGCCATGTTCTTCTCAATGGCGAGCGCAGTGGCAAGATCACCGTACTGATACTGGTGACGTGCCCAGCGTTCCCAGATCGGTCGGGCCTGGTCCGGTGGGAAAGTCTTGCTGACTTCGGAGAACAATGCGCCGGCATCTGAGTTGGCGCTGTCAGTACAATATGAGAAGCACAAGTGAAGCAACGCGTACTCTTCTCATCGTTAATAGAGAGTAGGAAGCTCAGATATCGCACAACGAACTCCGCCTCGTTGCGGAACATTTCCTGACCTTTCTGGAAGATACGTGTGGCAATGTTGGCATCGCGTCCCGAGTGGTATTCGGTATGGGCAGCGGCCTCCCAGACCTGCCATGGTACGAGCTTATCCACCCGCGCCTTCGCGAATGCGTCACGACCAGCCTTCGTGCCTTCAGCGCGGCGCGCAAAACGCATATACATGATCCAGACGACGCCATACTCGCGCCGACGCTCGTTGAAGTCTTTCCGGAGCGGGTTCTTCTCGTCTGCGACATGAGCGTTGAAGCCATTCGGCATCTGCAGGCTCGCCTGACTGGCGTCCGGTATGCCGCTGGTGTCTTGACTGCCGCTGAGATCGGCGCTCGCGTTGATAAGCGCCTCTTCGCGCTGCTCAAGATCCTTGCGCAGCGTCGCAAGGAACGTAGTGTAAAGCTCATGAACGGCGGGAAAGCTTCCCGCGCCTTCCAGTTCTAGCGCCTCGGCGTAGGCGAAGTTGAGAACGAAACTGGTCGGGTTCGCTGCGATGCCGTCTTTCAGTAGCTTCAGGGCTTGCGCTTGCGTGCTTGAGGCGGCGGTCCAAACGTATGCCATGTACCAGATCTCGGAAAAGTAGCGCATTCGTACAAGCGCCTTGCGGTAGACGCCGCGAATGCGTGATGCAAGCACCGCCTTATCCTTATCCTCGAGCTCGAGAGGATTAGATTCTTCCCAACGTAGGTATCCCTTCCACGCGCCAACGAGCGCGCGGTCTGCAGCATCAAACTTGGGCCGGTGCGGGAGCCATATCGGTAATGACGGTGACGAGGTCTTGGGGTAGATGGCACCGATGTGTTTCTGTAGTTGGCGTAGGACAGAGCGGGCTTGTACGTGGGCAGGCGAGAATTCTGCCATAAACTTCTTCGCCTATAGAGCAATAATGAGAACGAGCGTGCACGACATGAGACAACCGGGGAAGACTTACAAGAACATGATTGAGCCCGTTCTCGAAGCGCTCGTACTCCTGCCACAGTTGCTCTACGTTGTCGAGCGGGATTTGCACGGCACGCTGGTAGACTTTGCGTAGTTGGTCCATTTTGGTCTGCTCATCGCGTGTTGTCGGTGTCTGGGGGGCGTCGTAGAGTCAGCCGTATGATCGTGAACAAGACGGGTGGGTATATCGTGGATGACATCTGAGTCAAAATGCGAGTGACAGATGTGCGCGACGTGCGGTGCTACGCTCACACGCAAATGGACTTTGCATCGTGCTCAATGGCTAATGAGTCGAATCACACCGTTTCACGCATCACGCATCACGCAGAGGTACGATCGCACGGCACATCGAACACAACGACGACGAATGGAATTGGTATGGGGTAGATGACAGATGGAAGGGGCGATGAAGTAAGGGACACAGTATATCCGCATATCCGCCTGGACTTGTGTCGGATATGCGGATATACTGAGCACTGCGGGGGACGGTTAGGGGTCATACATACCTCGCCTTGTTGGATGAACCGGATGTAGTCGACCCAGATGTCGCCCGCCTCTTTGTCGTGACCAATATGATTGAGAGCGAACTCGAAAGCCTTCCGAACGTTCTCGCGAGCTTGTGGACTAGAGTTGATACGGCTGCTGGGGTGTAACGAGCCGCCGTAGTTAGAGACAGCGATTACGAAGGGAGAAGAATAAACGCGTGCGTACCGAACATATGACAAGTACACCCGCCACAAATCGATGTGCGGGCTAACCAAGAGGAAGCGCTTGAATAGCTCTTCGGCGAATTGATACTGACCGGGGTTGATAAAATGGTTGACGTAGGCGATTTGCGCCGTGACCTGCAGAAAAACATGTTCACATCCCAGTCCTCGAGCATAACACATGCTGGTATCACGCACGCTATTGGGATAGACTGCAAGGAGCCCATCGTACGCCTCCTTGATACGGGTGATATCCCCCGAATCTTCAGCTAATCGGACTAATTTATTCCAACCTTCAGGATCAACAGGCTCAGCACGCAACGACGCGAGCGAAAGATCCCATTCAGACTGTGGCTTTTGAGGTTCAGAGGCCGTGGCGCCGTTGGGCGATTGAAGGTTTTGAAGGTCTTGCGTGACGTGTTCGGCCGGCTGTGTCGTATTGCCCGCGTCGTCAGCGGTGTCCATTGCTTCCTGCTTGACGTCTTGCATAGTTTGAGATATGGAAAATGTCCTTCAAGTTGTTTGAGGTTGGGATTTAGCGCCCAAGCTGAGCGGGCGAGCGCAGTTGGTAGTAACGTTGCGACACGGCCCAGTGGCACAAATAAAGTCGTTCGAAAGGGCGCGCTTTAAGCGACTATTTCACGAAGATGGTCGGACGAAGGCAAGTGGAAAGAATCTGGGGATGAATTACGACAAGCGGACAGGGCGGATGGGGGTCAAGAGCAAACGACGCTGCGGCGTGTTGGCTGGCCCTCAAGTGAACACAGCAAAAATAAAGCCAAACACCGGCTCCCGCGTCGTGCCGACGGTCCGAACGCGTCAAAGTTTGGCGCGTCTCGCGCTCGCAATGCACGCGACGAGAAAGTTGGCTCTTCCTTTCATCGCAGGATTCGCCGTCGACGTCGACGTTGAGGTCGCGTAACGCGATGGCGTCGAATACGGTGACCATTGGTATCCTCGGTCAGCTCTCTCGCTCTTCTGCTTACTTGGTCTCTTCTGACGCGGCTATATGCAGCATTGCAAGGTGCATTCCTAGAGCACCAGCAGACGCTGCAGAAGCTCTCTGCGAAGACTCGCATCAAGGTCGTGCAAGTCAGGACTCCGGATGATCTGTCCCTTTGCGAGGCCTTGATTATACCCGGCGGCGGTGAGTATGAGGGACATCGCTTGTCACGCATGTACTCATTCAGTCGCGATAGAGTCTACAACAATGGCCCTGTTGGCCCGCTCTTCTGGCCTTCTCGAACCTCTGCGCGAATTCGTACGAACGAAAGTCGTCTGGGGTACTTGTGCTGGAGCTATCCTATTATCTAAGACTGTAACCAACGCGAAGAAGGGCGGTCAGGAGTTACTCGGCGGCATCTCGGTCAACATCGCCCGCAACGGCTGGGGCTCTCAAGTTGAGTCATTTGAAGCACCGCTTGAGATCGAAGGACTCAAGGATCCCGACCGGCCCTTCATGGGTATCTTCATTCGGGCACCCGTGAGTGCCGGTACCGCTTCTATCGCTGATACCACGCTCACGCTTGCATTAGGTCATCTTGTCTCTGGCGCAGGAACCCGGCGCTCCGCCTATCCAGGTTATTGCTCGACTACCAGAGCACCTACTCCCACCCACTTTATCTGACCAAGGTCCTGATCAAGCCATTGTGGCCCTACGCCAAGGACGTCATCTACTGACCACCTTCCACCCCGAACTTACACAAGATAGCCGCTTTCATCTATACTTCGTGAAAGAATGTGTACTTCCCTTCGTCGGTATAGATTCGCAGACTGTCAAGACGCCTCCAGGCTGAATGTACATCCCTTATACCTGACCGTATACTACTGTTAGAACTCGAGTCCTTATCCACTGCATACAGCATCGTCCTGATACCATTACACTGTAGACCCAACTACACATTACTCACATTACACTGCACTCGTTCATGGAGAGGATGATAGAAAGCATTGATGAAATTGATGAAGCTGTTCTGGATAGTACTGTACATATCAAGCAATATCGGGCGTACTATGCCAATACCAAGACCCCATGTACCTAATACACTTCGTCCACATCCACAAACCAGTTGATAGAACCATTTCCGCGCATGATGCGGCGATTCATGTATCTCAAGTTCACCTCCTTGAAGATACTGGCGTCCTTGAGCTGATCATCGATACTATCCACCCGCTCCTGGTAGGGAGCGTACGCTGCTTTCTCCTCCTCCCGGTCGAGCGCCGCCTGCCTGACATTATGTTCAACCGAGCGTTGGACGTCGAGAACGTGCACAAGTCCGCGCTTCGTCGGTCGCGCGCGGGCTGCATCGAAGAGGATCCAGTACGTCTCCTCCACAGCGCCCTGTGAGGTATAGTTGCCCTTCACACCTTCGTCGACGGCTACTGTTGGTAGCTTCGCCTCCAGCGCTTCTGCGAACGCGAGCAGAGCCTTGCCGAGATTTGCCGAGCGGTTGAGCTTCCCAGTCTGGAGCAGTACGTCGAGTTCATGCCGAAGCTCCTCCGTGCGCCTACGCAGGCTCTTATCCGGACGAGGGTGCTCGAGTTTGGCAAGATCGCTCTGTTTGATCGGCAAGTCCCACTTCAACGATGGCAGCGAACCGCTGCCGGTCTCTGTCCACTTGTTGAGAAGTCGCAAACCCGCGACCTCAGTGGCAGTCTGACCGACGCCGTTCTCGGCATGCAGCAGCTCAGCGGGGCCCCCAGCGGTCAAAGCGCGAACGAAGTGTGCATGATCGCGTTGAGCGGCTGCATGAAGTGCGGTTGAGGCGGAAGCGTCGCGCGATAGGTAGATGGAGTCGGGAAGCGGTAGAGAGATGAAGAGCGCGAGGAGTGAAGGGCGATCCTTCTTTACAGCAAGCGCCAAGGGCTGGATACGGTATCAGCGAAGCTCGTAGATGAAGAGATACCAGGTCACGCACTGTGTTCAGGGCGCCACGAGACTGCTGAGCAAGAAGAGAGAGCACGAGCTCTTGCGGTAGCTTCTGCACTAGGTGCTTCGCCAGTGTCTCGTACTTCTCGTACGTCTCTTGCTCCCTCTCGCTCACGACAGAAAGTATATGGAAGGCGTTCCAGCTACCAAGTTGTAAGTAGACAATCGTTGGCGAGGACAATCTATAGCTCACCCTCGGGCATCACGGTCCGCCGGTTCTGCACCTCGTTCAATCAAGAAGTCGAACAGTTCTGGCTTGACGCCGGCCCGTACAGCGGCGAGTAGCGGCGTCAAACCACTGAACTTGGCACTAAGCGGCGTGATCAGTAATAATGTGTACACTGAGGTGAAGATAGACGCCTACCGCGCATGCAAATAATCGCCCATCAGATCCGGCTCAAGCTCGAACAGCGCGCGTGCAACGCCCAGTCAATCCGCACAGATCGCGTTGAGCAGCACGCTCTCGTCAAGAGCGTTGAGGCACCATCCGAGCCAAGCACGCACCGCGCGAGGCTGCTCCGACTCCGACGCGCACTTCATGATGTCCCGCGCGCTCTTCTTGTCGGGATGTGCAGTTATGAAAGCGCGGTACGCAGCGAGTGGACGAGAGCTCGAGAGGTACTCCAGGACCTTGAGAGAACCATGGTCTGCAGCCTGACGTGCTGTTGGACTGGAGATTGGACCGAGCGCGAGTCGTACCGGCTGGATCTTGCCCCGCTCTGAGTGCTTCACACCATGCCAGTCCAGGCCAAGGTATACGCGTTTCTTCTTCTCCACCTCCACACCATCAGCATCGTCCGTATCAAGCTCGATTGTAGGGAGACTAGTACGCGAGGGATAGATGCCGGACCCGGTCTTGCGGATGTACGCGTCCAGGAACTCCGGACGGTCCTGGCGAAGAATCACGCCGAATGTCGCCCACTTGCCCGCAGGGTCGACCTTAGCGTGCTGATAGAGCTCGAGGATGTGCTTGAATGTATCGATGTCACCGTCGTATACAGTCCGTTGCAGAGCAGTAGCCGTCGCAAGCTTGCCGTCGGCCGGCCAGCCGCCTTCGATATCAAGCAAGTCCGAGGGTGAAGCGCGGCACTGGATCTTGGATGGACGTGCGGCGATGTCAGTGAAGTCGATGGGCTTCGGCTCAGGGTCTTCTTCGTCGATATCCATGGACTCTGACTCAGATTCATCGTCTGAGAACTCTTCTTCGGTGGCGGAAGTTTGAGCGTCGTCGGGCTTGTGTTGAGCTTCCGCGATGCTAAGGATCAGCTTCGCTGTGTCCCAATGTCTGCGCTCTATAGCAACCATGAGAGGTGTGTAGCCTGCATGAGCTGGTCAACGTCCGTTAAAGCTATGCAACGGGTGTGAACTCACCTTGACGTCCAGGCCAGATGTCTCCATGCGGATGCGCATTGGTGGCCATGACAGCGATCTGTATCGGCTCTTCGCCAGATACGCAAAACTCCTGGATTGTCTTGTTGTCTCCCGTCCACGCGGCTTCATACAGTTTGTCATATCGCGCACGAAGATGTGATGGGACGGCGTCATAGGCCGTAAAGCGATCTAGGCGACGATATTCGATGTACTCGTTGTCCTCCTTCTTTTCCTTCTTCTCCTCTACCTTCTCCTCAAACGTTGGGGCGGGTGGGACGCCAGGTTGCTCGCGAAGTAAGGCTTCGAGTGCCACGTAATGATCGTGCATGCGCTCGAGCTCAGGAAGACTACGCTTCTCCAACGGACCATCATCCGAGTCGCCCCGAGAGCCTCCAAGTCGAAGCATCTTGGGCCCAGAGTAGTTCTCCGGTAACCGCAGAGACTTGACGATGTCAATCATAGCGGCACGCCACTCGGTCCAGCTCGTCGCTTGCGAAGGGTCGGCGCTTGATGTTGATGATGCCGGTGCGGTATCCTTCGGCCCCTCCGTCTTGTGCTTGATGGCAGCGTCAACAGCTTTCCTCGCCTGACCAGCCCAATCCGCGAGCGAAGCATATCGCCTTCCAACATCATCCTCAGGTCCCAGCTCGATGGCCGCTCGTGGCGGCGCATCAGCTTTCACACCCAGTGAGAGCAGCATCTTGATGCCTTCGATCCCTTCACCTCGCGCTAGCGCGGCCTCGAGCGGATGGTGCACCCACTCGCGCCAGTCCTTAGCGTTGCCGATCCAAGCGCGCTGCTTTCGCGTATCGACGGCACGCGAAACGTCCTCCTCGACCAACCCCATCTTGGCGCCGAAGGCAGCGAGTACTGCGACGGCGGCATAGTTCCCTGTCGCTACTGCAGTTCCAAACGGGTGCACGATGTAGCTGCTTTGCCACGCTGAAGCATCTTGCGCTGCACGGGCGCCTTTAGTGTCAGACTCGAGTAGCGCGCGCACGACATCTGAGCGGCCAGGTGTTGCAACAATCAGATGGAGAATAGAGAGCCAGTTCCCATCGGCAACGGTACAGCTGGCGCCCTTCTCCACAAGCGCCCGAGCAATCTCTGCAGCAGCAGCGCTCTCACGCGTGAAGATGGTTGCAGCGAGCGGATGTAAACCGTTCTTTGTGGGTTTGTCAGCCGGTGCGCCAGCTTCGAGGAGGATATTGACAGAGGAGAGGGAGCCGGCGAGGATGGCGTAGATGAGTGGAGAGAAGCCGAAGTCCCAGTCTGGTGCGGTGAGATCGAGGATGTCGGGCGCATCAGCGGGTGGGTCCTCGAGCGCATCAGCAGACTCCGATGGCGAAGTTGTAGGGCGCGCGTCGGAGCGTTTGACCTGCTCCCATTCTTCCTCCTCTTCCGTAGACTCTCCCTCGCTGCCCTCCTCCTGCTCGCCCTCAGAGTCGTCGACTGCCATGCTTTCCGCCTCGACGGATGTACCCTTCGCTTCAGCCTCGGCACGATTCCGCTCGCTTCGAGCGAGTAGTGCCTGTACGACGACGTCCATCCCCGCCTGCGCTGCCAGGTGGAGTGATGTGCGCCCGCCGACGAGTCGTGGTGCCATGCGCGCGCCAGCCTAGATAGAGATAGTATACATCAGTATTAGCCTAGACGATATGTGAAATGGGACAGACGTCAATCAACTCGAGCGCAGAGCCACGTGCTCCAGCCAGAATCGCAACATGTAGAGGCGTGCGACCTGTGCAATCCCTCGCGTCAAGGTCAAGCGGTTCCTCTGCAGAGTCTCCAGCCTTTGCTGCCTCGGGTTCCTCAACGCGAATGTCTGCATCTTCAGCCTGCTTCCGCTGTTGTATATCAGCGATGAGAGCTTTGAGCGTCCGAACGTCGTTGGCTGCTGCCGCTTCAACAAGCCGCTCTTGCGCGCGGACGTATGTTTGAGCTGCCCATTCGTGCGCATTAAGTGGTCGGAACGAGCCCGTCATGGACTGACGGCTGCCATGGTTTGGCCGTCACGTGACTCAGCAATATCCTTATTCTTTTCCTTTTCCTTTTCCTTTTCTTTTCTGATTCGGCATCTCGGCATCTCGGCATTTCGGCACGCGGACTCCGGACTTGCATGACTCACACCGTTCACGCACGACTCGGCCCGCTTACACACACTTCCCTTGTCAGCGGGGCCCGGCTCGCTCAGTCATCCGCTTGCTTGTCTGTCTTCGTCATCCCGTTCCCGCACTGCCTTGACCTGTATATAAGACTCTCCCCCCATGTACCTAAGCTCCTTTAGTTCGTCCATCTTGCAATCCACCCTCTGTGGCGTTCTC